CATGACGGTCATTATCTCAAGAGTACTTAGAGACATCACTTTCAACGTCAGGTATTGTTAGATCTGAATTCATAGTGTACAACTGCTCATTAATTCTATTCATGGAAAACAAGTCATTCTTCAGAACCTCTTGATCTTCCGACCTATCGAAATCTTTCATTGTTGAAATGCTTTCGTTATCATCTGCCTCGTCTTTGATTCTTATGGGGTTCCGATTAGCTATTGGGGCCCTCATCTCCTGTTTAACTTCAGAATTGCTAATTCTTGGATCCCTGTCACGCAAAAATGAGGTATAGCCATCATCATCTTCGTAGACATAGTTTTGAAGATCACCACTTTTGTTAGTCGTTGAACTCAAGAATTCATTTATAAAATCATTTCCGTAACTAAGACTTGAGCTCGTTGTTTTGGGAGATGTCATGGAAGACCCAGACCTAGAATCATCGATAACTTGACTTATAACGTCACTTTCCAGAAGCGGCTTAACAGTAACAGGTGCTTTAGATGAGGCCTTATCGCTATTTCTCGTAAAGATATAGCTAATTAATCGGAAGTTTAAACCAGTAAAGATTCCAACTAAGCTTCCCACTATCAATCCAACCATCACATAATGAGTCAAGTTCAAAAAGAAAAACCTGAGTTGAGGCAACACATCAATAAGAGATGTATTCTTATCAATGCTTAATAAAAATAATGCTGGTTTTAATGGTAAATAAACAAATGTGTAAAATGCTAATCGAATAACTATCAGTAAAGGTATTATAATAAAATGATTTAAAATGCCATAAAACAAGTTAAATATTGGAAAAATTGCATAATTTAAGGGAAACCTTATTACCGAATTCAAAGCTCCAAGTATGAAGCTACTAAACGTCGCCATTATCGAGTTATTAACATTGTCTTTATATCACAAGTTTTGAGAATATCATTAAAGTTAAATATTAGTAAATTACATACACTACTATAATGATCACTAAAAATTATTCTTTATTATTTACAGCCTGTGAACTATAGAGTAGGTGAAAATACACTTGAAACCACAGTTAAGTTAAATACTAAATCCTGCCATTTTTTTGGGTTTTTTTATTGTTTCATTTTTAAAGAAATGAAGTATTAATTGATATTTTTGCTTTTTTAAACTTTTTCCAATCAATAATTAATTATCATCATTAGTTTTCAAGTAGTCAGTATAGTAGCTACCAAAGACACTCCAATGAAATTTAACCAATAATAATATCCTTGAAGAAATATTTGACATTTCTGTGGCATTATTGCTAGATTTGGTATTAGTATCATTGGCACCTTTATCCATGTTGATTACAATTTGATTCAATAAGTCTTTGAAAGCTCTATCTTCCATTAAACCATAAACTTCCGAAATTGGCTGAATCTGCTTGATCAACCAATTGTGACTAAATTCAATCAAACTTTTAGGTAAATCATCAGAATTGACAACTTTTTTGACTAATTGTAATGCTATTGAATGCACATTTCTGGTCCATTTAATATTACCGTTGTCATCAGTGACAATTGCTAATATTTCATCTTGGATTTTGGTAATGTTTTCCGGCCTCAACAATTGAGGATCCTTATTATTAGTACTTAACAAAAGCTGTTTGTATAATACAACACATAATTGAACGCAGACCAATTGCCTTACATCTGCACGTAACAAAACCAACCTGGTATGATCAAACGCCAAAGACGACGGAAATTCTGTCGACATATTACGGCATGATAATAAATCAATAATAGAACTTATGATTACGATGCGCAAATACTTATCATCAAATTTGTTCTTATCATTTAGATACTCATTCATAAGTTCTCTCTTTTTATGATAATTCTTGTAATACCACTTTAATGAGTCCGTGATGTCGATTTTACAGTGACTTATCAACTGATTGAAATAATCTTTTTCAAAATCCACCCCAGTCTCAATTAAAACAGGCCTTAGTATTCTTATTTGATGATTGGCAACATCTAACTTCATCGCTTCCAAAATTGAAAAGATCATACGCAAACCTTGCACTAAGTATTCCACGGAATTAGTTTGGAAAGCCTGATCAAATTTGTGTATCATTTCACTGACCCAGTTATCTCTCATTGGAGCACAATGACTTTTGAAAACCTCTCCAAGCCATCTGGCTAATGATACAAAATCAAACGAGCCATGGGATAATTGTTGAATCAATAAATCTATGTCCATCACTTCACTTACAGATGATCGATCCTTATGCGGCAATAAAGACAATAAAATGTCTCTCAAGGTTGTGAACAAAATCGGTAGTCTTGAAAATTTAATATTGTTATTGGGGACGAAAAACTGCTGGCATTCCTTCTGAATTTCGAGCCAATACTTATCTATAATTGATTTTTTCTTTCTGCCCTTCTCGCCATCCAAATTTGGCCTAAATTGAAGTTGAGGATCAAAAAGAATATCATGCCTTAGCTGAGGATTCTTCAAGATTTCATGTAAATCGATTTCTTTCAAACTCTGGAGATTGATGGGTGGCAATGGGGGTACATTAGAGCCCTTGACCAGAGCTTGATGATGATGATGATGGTGGTGGTGATTGTGATGATTGTGATGATAATGATGTGGATTATGATGCAAGATTGCAGCCCTTGAGGAGCTATAATTTATAATGGGTAAGGAACGAGACCTAAATCTACGAACAAACTTAGGGGCCTTTGGTTTTGATGATAAAGATGATTTTGGTGAGGACAATGACTGTGAACCAGAAATGGTTTGAACAACTGAGGAATGACTTGAGTTAGTGGAAATATTAGTGGCCCCAGATTTCACTCCTTTGGAGGCGCCGCTCAAACCGACACCAGGACTTGATGCATCTGCCGATGATGTTGGTGTTGTGATAGAGGCAGGAGAACCACCTACGGCTGCCGATGACCTTGAGCCAGCTTCGTTGTTCAACATCAACGAAACACTAGCGTTGCTATACTTTTTCGCAGGAGCAGACGGGTCCGCCGAAGTGTCTAATCGGACCCTCTTCGCCTGATCACTTGGGTTGGATGTTGAACTTCGTTTCGATGAGTCGAAGCATACTGTTCTGAACTGATCCTCTTGTAAAACCTGGTCCTTCTGGTCGCTCTGCTTATTGACCTGTGAATTCATATTATGATGTTCCAAAAATAGCAAAAGATGGTAGCTATGTGATGCTTGTAGCTAAATATTAAATTAAATTAAATTATCCGTTTGTTCAAGTCTGGTATGGATACTTCTATTATAATCTTGGTGAGGATATCGTCTTTGTCACTACCAGCTTTATCTTTCACCCTTACCTGAGTTTATTTCTTGTTTCAAAGTGTAAATTATTCACTTATAAAGAACAGTTTAATGCTCTACTGTTATAGATTATGTTTATCGATTATTATTAATGCCTCTTCCGTTAACAGTTATTTATTACCCTGCTTCCCGTTTTTCTCTTTTTCAGTACCCTACTGTCCTTACACACTAAAATCTCTACTCTCTTGTTTCTTCCTAACCCTTCTCTCTATGCTTCCGTAAGCTATATACTATTAGCTTATATTCTCAGTAATTATATGAGCAGAAGGAAGTGCTTTGGTAGTATTTGCTTTGAGGGATGTGTTATAAAGGATATGGAATTATTAAAAAAAGGACACTAAAGACGGTGATGGAATTCTAAGTGTAATAAACCAAAAAGAAATGAGCAATTGGTAGCGCTGTCGGCAGACACTAGTGAGAATTGCGCGGCAAGAAAAGTGCGCTCTTTAGCGTGAGTAATGCATAATAGCTAGTGGGTCAGTGGCTACAGTGAGGCCCATTATTTCTTCTTTGGCCGCCTGGGCGAGCCCCCCACAGACGTGCATCGGCAAGCGCTCTGCCATCCGGCTCTGCGTAAGAAGCAGAAAAGAAACGGTAAGATCCGTCGGCGCTAGGTGCATAATAGGAAAAATTACAGAGGCGACGGGGCTGCAGAACAAGGAGGCATGATTGCTGAAGATGTGTTTGGCTGATTTCTTTTTCGCCGGGCACCATGTGCAGGAAAACAAAAATCAACCGTTGACTCTGCAGTAGTGCGAAAGCGGCCTGGCAGTCAGGCAGACAGATGCCTACTATTTAGAATTAGGAATGAGATGAGACGTGACTCTCGTGGTCACGAGAATCCATCGATGGCGATGAAGAAGTAGCAGCTAAGCAAACGTGGTGTCACATCACTCATCTGCGGTACGCTGTCGTGAGATGCGATGCGTCTATAACCAGTATGACTGTAGGATTCGGTATTCAGCGCCCCCTTGAATTATTCCCGCTGCCTATCATACGACTATGTGCAATACACACAATGCAATTTTTTTTGTTTGCTGTATGCTACTTGATTGTTGTACGCTTGATTTGTAAAGGAAGCTGTTTGTCTTTTATAGACAGGGCAACTATCATTTTGCAACAAACAGAGTATTGCTGCAATACTGAAGCAGAGAAGGTAACTTGTATCTAGAATGCTGCAAATGGCTGTACATGCCACAGCGAGCAAAAGGCTGGTTTGGTCCCGGCATTTGAACGTTATGAAAAAGTTCGCGGGTTAATTGGTTGTGCGGCCAGTACTAATCACTGCCTCAATCAGAAGCATAATTATGCTTACTGTTAGTAAGGTACATGCTTGCTGTGAACCAACCGGTACTATATTCTATATTATGTTTGCCTAGCAACTTATACCCTGCTCTATTAGATACGCGTAAGCTTTTTTATTGCTGCAGAAAACAAAATGGCATCACCCCTGTATACAATCACCCCTGCACACAAGCATTTCTTCTTTCGAAATAGTAAGGCTGTCCTCATTTGTGCTTTAGTAGCTTTGTTTACTAACACTGTAATAAACCATAAGGATTAATTATGGTGTCGTATCTGCGATCATCGTTTAAGAAGTCTTTGAGATCCAAGACAAGTAAGTCGTTTAAAAACGACAGCAGCGATGTCTTGGTTTACTTGGTTTACTTGCACTATATAAACTCTTTGACATCGCAGATGGAGCAGTTGAGAAGTTCGAATGGTAACTCAGAAGTGACTGCAGAGCAAGTACGTCGTATTCATAAGCAACTTCTCCGTGAATACAGGGGATGATCTGTGCTAATTGCTGTAGTAGCACCGTCTTGGTGCCGACATATATTTACAAAAAGATGACGACCTGCTCAACCATACACATATATACACATACACATTACGCCAAATTCTAAAAGGCAGTGTTGGGATGCCTCAAAGTTTCGATCATCTTAAGAGCATTTTCAGGGTCCCTTTTGTTGTACACAAATAATCCCTGCAACTGGGCTGTGCTGACGGTGGTCAATCCCAAAGCCCTATATTTTTGCATGAATTCTTCACATAATTCATGTTCGTTTTCATAGAACCTCAAAAACATCTTTTTCACTTGATAATCTGTGGCATTGCCTATTAATACTTTGTAGTCTACTCTTCCTGGTCTGAGCAACGCACCGTCTAGTCTTTCAGGATGATTTGTCGTCATAAAAGTAATGCATTCCTCCGCACTTGCCACTCCATCTAAGGCATTCAATAACCCAGAAAATGTTACCCCTGACGTGAATCCTTGTTCATCGCTCTGTTCTCTTTTGTTAAATGCAGCATCAACATCTTCCAAAAGCAAAATTGATCTCTGAGGAATATGATTCATTAAATGATTCAAACGATCATCAGTCAAATTCTTTTCTGACAAATTTAATATGCAAATGTTGTAATCTAACTCACCCGCCAATGCTTGAATAAATGAAGTCTTCCCGCTACCTGGCGGCCCATATAATAAATATCCCCGTCTATAAGGAATACCTCTTTTGTGATACCAGTCGCCACTTGTGAGAAAGTCTTTCACGTCGTCCACAACAGCCTCTTCAATTCCGTCGTCTAAGATGACAGAACCTAGTAATCTCTTCTTGCGAGGTTGTCCAAAGGGTCGCCATTCAGGACCCCAAGATGTATAAAGAACGGTCTTTCCCTCGTTGGCTTTCATTGCCATCATCTTAGCTTCATTGAGCATATCCCCGAACAACTTTCTGTCTCTATAGAGTGTAGTTAATGTGACAGTCTCGAATGGAGACCCATTGGTCATATCGATGAGCTTTCCTGACCTTTCACGATTTACCAACATAAACGCTCCTTTGTATCTAACCAAATGCTTTCCAGGTCCAGGTACCAAGCTGAATTTGGTAGAAACTGCTCCATTATCATGTTGTATGTAGTTAGTTTCAACAGCCAAATGTCTTGAACTTCTATGCTTATATCTAGACATCCACTCTAAAAACCATAAATATGACTTATCCTTCGATGGAATCTCCAAATCCACAAGCATCCTACGATAGGCAAATCCACACCCCTTTATTATCACCAGTCTTCCTAGAGCCAATCCAGTTCCCAACAACATGAGTCCTCCTCCGGCCGCAAAGTACGGATTATTCACAACTACTTCATTGAATGCCAGCAGCATCATACCTGTCATAGAACCATCAGATTGCTCCCGGATTTTCGAGAGGTCGATAGAGTTGGCACCAGACATTGCTTAAGACCATCAATATGAAACAATTGTTGAATTATCAAAGGCCCTTATTGTGTTTTGTTTTTTTAAATGAAAAAAAAAAGATGACTGACATTGTAAGATTTGTGTAATTCGATCCGAACCATACTTCTACGCAAAGCTTAAGAATTGTATCTACTACTTAACATATTTTACTTTGTGATATCGAAATATGGTACTAGAGTCCGATGGATCGATGAATGCCACTGGCTATTCAGATCCAGAAGAGAAGCAGTTCACAATGAGTCATTCAGATACGTCCGTGACCTTAACTGGTGATGAAAGTGTATCAAAAGCTGGAGGTGGCCACAACAGTAACAATCCTTTTATAGCGAAGAATAATAGAAAAACTACGATTTCAAACAATGACCTAGTGAAGTATCCTTTTAAGACATTGAATCGTATTTTAGATGACATCAAATGGAGTATTCCCTATAAGAATCACTATGGGGGGAGCTTATTAAACCAGAAGCCAATTGATTATTCTAATAATTTATCCAAGTTAGTCAACGGACTGACGGCCGAATACGAATTGATTACATTGAATAATAACTTGAACTTTTCTCCTACAATTGAGGTTACTGAACTAGAGGATTCCAGGAAACTTACTATTATAAGAGGTTTATTAGTAACTCATGATAAAGTTAGCCATTTCAGACTTATTGTGTTAGAGAACCCTACAAACCCATTCGTGACAACTATCGATAAATGCGACTATCACTTGATCCCCTCGAGTGTTATATCTTCTGATGATCGTAAGATACTAGGAGTTACTAACAAAGATGATGATGATGCGTTATTTGACGATTCTTTATTTGCCAGTTCAAGTGCTTCCAATAACCAACTTTTGAGAGCTTCCATTTATAAGCACGAATTCGACAACGATGATTTAGTACTGCTAATAGATCAGGGTACCATCGAAGAAAGGTACTTAAAAGGAGTTGAAAGGCACCCGAATTTGAATTTATCTAGCGACGTCATACCGAATTATATCCATTGCTTTAAGACGTTGTTACGTGCCTTGAGGGGACCTATACTATTAAAGGATGATGAGGTCATCAAGACGATCAGCTTAAATGATACTGTATTAGATTCTCAAATTGATATTAATCTACTTTTAAATAAACTCCATTTTACATTAAATTCAAGTGGAAATGAATTGATACCGCCAAATTTATCAAAAAATCCCCATTTAAAGGAAGCATACATGAGAAAGATTCAGGAGCTTATATTCCTTGGAAGAGTATATGGTCAATCGAAAGAACACAACGAATTCTTAGTGAATTATTCTTATTCTGATAATTTATCAATCGTATTTAAGACATTCAACGAATTTGATAAACATATTTGCATGACTTATTTCAAAAACCATAATTCTAGCCGATTTCCTTTCATGATTAATTTAAGTATATGTACATTTTTTCGAAATGAGTTGATCATTAAATGTTTTGAAAATACTATTGCTTCAGATCCTTCGAATAAGCTCCATTATGTCGATTCATTGAAAAGTACAATCAATTCCAGGAGCAATACATCTAATAACAAGCTAAGGTCTTATTATCAAAACTTGGTCTCTAGAGGTGAAATTGTGGGTTATGATGATTATATCAGCGCATTACATGCCATTGGACTTAGACTAGATAAATTCAGCTCGGAATCTTCCTATATGAATCTTGACGACGAGTCAGTCATAACAATGTATAAGAAATCATATGAAAATGATCCCAAAAATTACCAGTACTTCAGGAACAATCTTGAGACTATAAGTAAAGTGATAAATTCCAAGAAACTATTTGAATTTTTAGATACAGAAGTCATCCCTATCAGAATAGCGATGGAAGAGTTAAATATTGAAGAAATTACTGAAGATGAAGTGGCAGTCACTGCTTATGAGTTCAAGTTGAATGAATGTTTGCAAGCAAATGGCTTTGTTACCAATGACAATGAAATAATATTCTTGAATAAATCGCTTTTATCGGTCGCCTTGAATAGAAAAAGTTACCTTTTACTAAATTATATTGAGACGAAGCTTCCTCAATTGGTCAAGACTCCAACTCACATCACAACTGAGGATGCTTATTCGAAGATAGGTTGCGATAGCACAAGTACAGAGCCCGAAATAATTTCTAAATTCCAAGAAATTTGGATCAAAGCTGAACCAGAATTTTTAATTATTCTAAGGTACTGCTTCAAATTGATAGCCGAAGACAGAAAATCGGAAATCTTAATAAGTTATTTAAAGACAGGGAAGGTTGATCCTTCTCTCTTTCCATCATATGAATGGCCGGCTGGATTAGACAACATTGGCAATACATGCTATTTGAATTCATTGTTGCAATATTATTTCTGTATCAAACCTTTAAGAGAAATGATTTTATCCTTTAATGAGAATGATATAGATCCTGAAAAGCAAAAGAATAAGAAAGTCGGCGGCAGGAAAGTCGAAGAAGCAGAGGTAAAAAGATCAAATCAGTTTATTTATCACTTGCGTGACCTTTTTAATGAAATGATTCACACAAAGGGGAGATGCGTACAACCTTCAAAGGAGTTGGCATACCTATCATTTTTACCTTTATCGCAGCCTGTCAATTTCAAAGTCTATGAAGAAGATTTTGATCGTAATGTGGGAGATGATACGAGTAATCCTATCATTATAAGTTCTCAATCAGCTACTCCGAGCGAAAATGATTCCGAAGATGACGTTGAAATGCTTGACGAAATAAACGATGCAAATGAAAGTAGAACTGACTTAGACAACCTGAATCATTCAGACCTCTCAAATGATCTGATCCAGGTCATTGGAAGTGACCAAAATATTGATATGAAAGAAAACTCGGATGATGATAATAAGAGCGTATCCGGCCATGAGAATGTAACATCGAATATTCCTAAGGTACTTCCAATCAGCACTGATCAAATTGAAAGTACTATTGAAATAGGTCGGCAACAGGATGTTACAGAGTGCATGGAAAATGTCACTTTCCAGATTGAAAGTGCCCTAGAGGCTGAAAGCTTAGAAGAGGATGGAGAACAAGTTGACCTAATTAAGAAACTCTTTTATGGTAAGACAAAACAGATTATCACGCCCTTGGAAAGCTCTGGAAGTCCAAGGGTTTCAAATGAACGGTTTTTTAGCTTGATCATTAATGTCGGCGACCATCCTAGGGATATTTATGATTCACTAGACAGTTATTTTAACGAGGATTCTGTGAAATTAGAAGAAGGATTAGCCAAAAAGTCTTTAACAATCAGCAAATTACCCGATGTACTTCAATTCCATGTTCAGAGAGTTTTATTTGATAGGGAAAGATTGATGCCTTACAAGTCTCTCGAACCGATACCCTTTAGTGAAAATATATTTCTCGATAGGTACCTTGACACTGATGATGAGGACATTTTGCAAAAAAGAAGCGAGGTTTTCAAATGGAAAACAGAAATAAAGAGTCTTAACGACAAAAAAACAGAAATACTTCATCTTGATGTAGAAAATGGCTTGTCAATCATTGATTCGTTAATAGCCACTAAGAAATTTTTAGAGTCCAAAATTTTGAGCCACAGAACGTTAAAGATCAATCCTGCCACTATAATGACCATTCTGGACCAGATATCTAAATTAAAACAAGAGGTTCAGTCGATCAATAACAGATTGAATGACTTACACGTCAAATGTGCTCATCAGTTTGATGCTTATACACAAACAGGTTATCGCATCTTTGCAATTTTCATCCATAGAGGTGAAGCAAGCTATGGCCATTATTGGATTTATATTAAAGATCCCCATAAGGACATCTTTAGAAAATATAACGACGAAACTGTCACTGAAGTCCCAAGTTCTGAAGTTTTCAACTTTACTGAGGGAAATACTGCAACACCGTATTACATCGTCTATGTCAAGGATGAATTGATGAAGGACTACATTGAACCACTCAAGAGGGTTGCCGTCAATTGTTAAATAGACCATTTATAGTATAGACTTTCATATTTCTATTTTACCAACTAATTTCCGTATTAGGACACCTGATAGCGAAAGAAGAATATCTCAGTATCGCACGTTATCATTTCTTCAATAGAGAATAACAAGCCAAATATATTATATATCACGAAAGTATCATCGATTAGATATAATCACTAATCAAGTATATGATAGGTAGGTGAGAAGACCAATACAAGTAATCATATAAAAGCAGGGATTTCAAGTATTTATTTTCGTTTCATAACTATATTTCTTTGCTTGCTTGAGTCACTTATTGCATATAGAAAGTCACTATGAAGCCTAGCATTTACCTTAATTTGGTACCAATTCTAGGGTTGGTAGGATCATCGTATTGCTCCCAGAATGACTTGATGTACGGATTTGATAAAATAAAGAGAAATGCAGTCTTTAATGATGTGTTTGACGTCAGACAAGAGACGAGCAATCAAGGTTTAGAGTCCGAAGAAAAGTGTCCTCCGTGCTTCAACTGTAATTTGCCCAACTTTGAATGCACTCAATTCTCCAACTGCAACCCCTATACGGGCATGTGTGAGTGTCTCGATGGATATGGAGGAATGGATTGCTCAGAGCCATTGTGTGGTGCTCTCTCGGATGGCAATAAAAATAGACCCGTCAGGGAAGAAAATAAGACTTGTACGTGTAAAGATGGATGGGATGGGTTAAATTGCAACATCTGTAAGGATGACAAATCTTGTGATCCATTCATGCCAGAAGGTTTAAGTGGCACATGTTACAAGCAAGGCATCATTATCAAAAAGTTCCACCTGATGTGTGATGTAACTAATAAGAAAATTATTTCCATATTGAAGGGGAGGAAACCAGAGGTGACCTTTAGCTGTAATAAAGAATCAAATACTTGCAATTTCCAGTTTTGGATTGCTCAGAAAGAGTCTTTCTATTGTGATTTAAACAAATGTGAGTTTGAATACGATTCAAAATCCAACTCAACTCGTTATAACTGCGACAAGGTTGACTGTAAATGCTTACCGGGGAGAATGCTATGTGGAGAGGCTGGATCAATTGATATATCTGATTTTTTGACTGAAACAATCAGAGGGCCTGGTTTCTTTTCTTGTGATATCAATGAACATAGTTGTAGCTTTTCTGAGCCAAGTATGAATGACTTGATATCATCGGTGTTTGGAGACCCATATATTACTCTTAAGTGCTCATCAGGTGAGTGTGTTCACAAGAGTGAAATTCCAGGCTACAATGTTCCTGATAAGAATGAGCTAACGCTCGGCAGTATATTGTTGATTCTCAGTGTCATTTTGGTGTGTGGCTTGATAGTGTTTACTATTTTGCACAATGTGCGTAAATCTCCTTTATTTAGGAGGAAATCTGGAACCTTAGAACCACTAGAGAATGAAGGCGCAAATGACCTCAACTCTGATACGATTTCTGCTACTCTTACGTTTGAAAATGTTGGCTATACTGTCAAAAATGGTCAGCAAGTTTTGAGAGGTGTCTATGGAATAGTCAGGCCCCGTGAATGTTTAGCCATTATGGGAGGATCTGGTGCCGGTAAGACCACTTTGTTGGATATATTGGCGGCAAAAAATAAAGATGGAACAGTCACAGGTTCTATTTGCATTAACGGACACGTTGTAGACCATAATAATTATAAAAAAATGGTTGGGTTTGTTGACCAGGAAGATCAATTAATTTCAACTTTGACTGTCTACGAGACAGTATTAAACAGTGCTTTACTTAGGTTGCCGCGGACTATGTCTTTAAGAGCTAAAGAAGCTAGGGTCATCGAAGTGTTAAATGAATTGAGGATCTTGGGAATTAAAGATAGAGTAATTGGATCAGATTTTAAGAGAGGAATTTCAGGAGGCGAAAAGAGAAGAGTCTCTATTGCCTGTGAATTAGTTACTTCGCCTTCTATACTTTTCTTGGATGAGCCAACCTCGGGTTTGGATTCCTACAACGCAAGTAATGTCGTTGATTGTTTGGTGAGATTATCAAGAGACTTTGACAGAACCATTGTCTTTACAATTCATCAGCCCAGAAGCAATATTGTGTCTTTGTTCGACAAACTACTTCTATTGAGCGAAGGTGATTTGATTTACTCTGGTGAGATGATAAAATGTAATGATTTTTTTACAAAGTATGGATATAAATGTCCTCTTGGGTACAATATAGCGGATTATTTGATCGATATTACACTGAATCATAAGAAGGTTTTGAAAGTTGGAAGTTCGAATAGTGACTTCTTACCGGAGGACTTTGCGGGTGAACCAAGCACTGAAGACATTCATGATAGCTTCCTTCAAGACGCAGAAAGCAGCGATGTTGATACTACCAGAGAATGGGAGCATTTTGCAGTCCACAGAGATGAATATAATTATAATGTACAACTGAAAAAGGATAAATCTGGAGAAGAATCCACATACATACAGTTTAATAATAAATTACCTACAATTTTCAGAGAGTCGGTTTTGTCTGCTGAATTAAAGCAAGAAATTGAAGATATTAGGAGAAATCCAAGTGATGATAAGTTTAACCAAAAGATGTTTAAGAAGGCAACATTTTTCAGCCAGCTCTTAATTTTAAGCGCAAGGACGTTCAAGAATTTATATAGAAATCCAAGGTTACTTCTTAGCCATTATATACTATCATTTTTGGTCGGTAGTTTCTGTGGTTACCTATACTACGATGCTGCTTATGATATTAGTGGATTTCAAAATAGGCTTGGATTATTCTTCTTCATTCTTGCCTTGTTTGGATTCTCGGCTTTGACTGGTTTGCATTCGTTCTCATCTGAAAGGATTATTTTTATTCGTGAAAGAGCAAATAATTATTATAATCCTTTTTCCTACTACTTAAGCAAAATACTTTGTGATGTGCTTCCCTTAAGAGTGTTACCTCCAATAATATTGATCAGTGTTGTATACCCGCTAGTGGGTTTATCCATGCAACACAATGGATTTTTGAAATGTATTCTTATTCTAGTCTTATTCAATTTGGCAGTTTCAATCGAAGTGTTAATTGTCGGAATTCTAATTGGTGACCCTGGTACATCCACAATGATTGGTGTCTTAGTTTTGTTATTTTCTCTTTTGTTTGCTGGTCTTTTTGTGAATAGCAAGGATTTGAATACTCAAATTAAATGGATGGAATGGATTTCAGTTTTCCATTATGCTTACGAGGCTCTCTCTATAAATGAAGTCAAGGATTTAATATTGAGAGAAAAGAAATATGGGTTGTCCATTGAAGTTCCTGGCGCAGTTATATTAAGTTCGTTTGGTTTTAATGTCAGTGCTTTTTGGAAAGACGTTTCTTTCTTAGGTTACCTCACTTGCTTGTTTTTGATTCTCGGATATATCTTCCTTCACTACTTTGTTGTTGAAAGGAGGTAAAATAGACCGATGTCATTTTAATCTTGATGGTTATAAAAAATAGTACTATATATATTTAGATTAAGTCAATGAATTTGATTATCAATTATCTGATTTGGCATTCTTTTGCTTACGTCGTTTCTCAGCAAAGCCATAATAGATTTTGTAGCAGTGTTTACCCCTTGGTTATCTAACCATGTTGAAGGACTAAGATTGAAAGACTAGGTAAGTTATCAATAGGTACATAAAGACATTTAGTTATAACTATGACAAGACTCACCTGAGGAAAAAGATTAAAGGGAGTCTTGCCACTAAGTATATATATATATATATATGTATACATAAAACGTATATATACCTTGTAAATATGCCATGGAATGGAAAAAGCAAGTGTAAATAATTGTAAGAAAAAAGGTTTCTTGACACATTACAATTATCAGAAAAACTCATGAAAGCATTAAATCCGTTCTTAAACACCAATACAAACTTAATCAGATATAAAGGTAGCCTCGTTAAACGCAATACCTGTTTCTTCTTCGCGACCCTCTACTTTGATCTTGAATTCATTGCAAAACTGATAGATGTATGGCTTAGCACCCGCAACACCACTAACGATGTTTTTAACGAACTGAGGAATTTCCGCCATCACGTCAATTCTTTCAACTAAAGTATTCAATTTGCCTTTGACAGTAGCAACAATCTCTTGTTTGTCATCGTTTAAACTGTCGTACTTAAAAGTGATTGCCTTTGGCACCGGCCAGCCTACTTCATCAACTTGAGAATCTTCATGAATAACCTCGTTATCAATAGAAGCTAACAAAATCTTGTCCTTCTCACACAAAATACCAATATTAACTTTTGTACAAGCATAAGATCTCGGTGTGGTGAACTCCATTTGAACAGCACTAAAGTTCTCAGATTGAAAATTCAAAAAATTCCATGATTTGGCAGCATGGTGAGGTTTCATTCCTTGCATAGCCATTACAAACATTGTCAATCCCTCAATTTCAAAACTCTTAGCTGGAGTTATGATGATTCCTTTTACATTACATCTTGGCCAAAACAAGTGACGCATCGATCCCCATGGATTCTTCAAATCATCACCATAGTAAGTGGTTCCATCTTCTCCAAATATAACACCTGGAGTAAGTCTGTCAATAGTTAATTCAACAATAGACTCTTTGGTCACCGAAGACTTAATGACATATTGATTATCATCCTCATTAAGCACTATTGATAAGTTGTCTGCATAAAAGTTAGGACCTTCAGTCCTGAAGTTCTCCAACTTAGTGGACGTCCAAATTTTGTCTACCTCTCTACCTTCTTCTGCATGAAACAATCTAAATGTAAATTGCGCTGTTGTATGGACACCCATGACATTTGAATGAATAACTTGAGCAAATCCACACAATCCACTCTTCAAACAAGTAAAATAGAATGTCTGTGTCTCTACATTTGTGAATCCAGGAGTCAACCAGCTGAAATCCTTGGCATTAGTTTCTCTCCATGTCTTAGCTCCATTCTTAATTGAATCAGTAATGGTATGTATGGCCTCTTTACCATATTCTGGTTCTGCGGTACCTGCTACCGCTGAGAGACCTGATTGAACCCATTTCAACATTATCGTATGCCTGTTGCTTGTTAATCTTACGCGATCTGTTCACTTATGCAAAGAAAATGCTAATCCTGTAAATTCTATTTATGAATCAGTAAAAAATCCTGTAGATCACAGCTTTATAGTGTAATAATATGGCGAAAGTCTCCTATATAGATTGTGGATATTGTTGTTAAAGAGCAAGGAATCGAAAAAGACACAAAACCAGAAAACCAAAGGGCCAAAAAAATTAAATACATCGATTACATAAGCGACAACGTAAGCAAACTATAGTCGATTTCGATTGATTTTCGATCGATTCTCGGCATTGCACATAAGCAAGGAGACACGATGACAGACGAAGTACGTAATCAAGTATCAAAATAGATATCGTTACGTAATAGGGTAAATAACGCTTTTTTGGGTTGTCAAGTCCTTGTATGTGCCTTCTCCCTTAGCATGCAACGCGGAAGCGGAGTTCAGAAGACTATTCTGCTAATATTATTGGTATTCAAGCACGTACCTGTAGTAAACCACTACCTGGTACACATTTTACTAAAGGTGAGTGAAGTGACTCTGGGTCGACTGTGGGAGTAAAGGTCCTTATAATCTGAAAAATTTCCTTTTTGAGGAAGACATTAGTGTGCATACACGAAAGGTTTTGCACCCGTACTAAGAGGATCTGAGAAAAATGACGAATACCTGCCGCATCAGGAGCATACATATTATTAACGTCTTTAAAGTACTCATTCCTTACTTTCCGTTATTTTATATCACCACTATTAACGTTAATTTAGAGCGAACTAACACTCCAAACAAGCAAATTGTCCTTACGACAGCGTACAGACTTGCACAGAATTAAAAGGACAAGTGCTGGAAATTTGGAGCATTACTGGTCCAAGGGGGGACTCTTAGAAATTTTTCAGATATAAATAGGAATATTGACAAGACCGAACGTGAAAACCACCTCTATGAGCGGCCGTGTGATATCTAACACACTCTCTACACAAGGAGGGAATGACCTAGCCGGTATATCTCTCGAAAGGGACGTTTATGAGCTACTACGGTGGAGCTGGGTGCAAAAGAAACGCCCGAGACTTATAGTGAGAGAGGGAAAATTGAGTATACGAGTACAAACAGATGCACAGAATACAATAGTTTATGATTTAAATCGAATTGCGAGTGGTGAGAAGTATGTTGTTTATGATGGGGGGTCTTTCGAGGGAAGAATCAAAGAAAAGTACGATGTGAAGGAGGGACGAAATTCTCCTACCAAGGAGAGTGTTAAGGTTGAAATCAACTACCCAATAGACTCAGACAGCTACTCTGTGATTTCTTCAGACTCAGAGGCTAAGATTACAGAAAAGTTTTTAGCTTTGAATGCATTAGGTCCATCCACGAGTGAGACGTTGGCTAAAATTTTAAAGATAGACGTGACAGCTTTAATATCTAAGTACTCTCAGCTATATGATCCTAACGATGCATTTATAGCGAAAGACGTATTTCCAAATATTAGAACCATGGCTACGAATAGTGTGGCCGATTTTTCAAATCATTACATACTCAAGGATAAATCGTATAAAGAAATGAGGCCCTGGGACTGGTCATATCTGGAAAAAGAGAGAGAATTGATCATCGGTAATATAAACAATGCTCTTACTCGATTGGGCTATCTGGTAACTCATCCATTAAGAAAGAAAATATGTGAAAAAGACCACCAACCCTTGCTGGCAAGGAAGAGACCGCAAACACTAGGTGGAGGATTTTTGACCAGCAAGAAAAACCCATTCAAGAGATCTCAAACCGAATCACCAAACCTTGTTGATACTCGCTTCGATCCATCACCTTCAAAGAGGAAATTCTCTTTGATATCTTCAACGTCTTCATCGTCCGATGACGAGAAAAAGAACCAGTCAACATCTCCGCCTTCTTCAGTTGAGGACGACGAAGAAATAAAAGCATCCAGGGAAACTGCATCTTCGTCTTCTTCTAGAGCCATTTCAATGACGATTCACGAATCTCCTATGCCATCGTCCGTATTTTCTGCATCGGCTCGCTTACAACCGGAAACTACCCAAGCTTCTTCAACAACAGCTTTTAAGGCTGCCCCAAAGAGAACAGATTACTATGATAATCTTGCTGTAAAATTTAGGCTGAGATACAAAGAGTACGAGTCATTGTATACCTCGCTAAGATCGCATAAGAAGTCTGCAAAGAAGGACTTGGTTAAGCTCTATGAGCTACATAATCTTCTCTTTGAGTGGAAGAAAAAACTCTGGGAGTTTGATTCACGTACTAAATCCAAGAACAATATCATGAACTTGTCTAAGCATAAGAAGACCGCATCTCTTCCAAATGCTGACGTGAGTCCAACCAAGATTAGTACTGGAAATCACGGTGCAACTGTTCATAGCTCATCAAAACGGAAGCCAAAAACTCTACTTAATTACTAGATAGAAACAATTGATTGTATTTCAAATAAACTTTCTCTTTATCTCACTTATTTATGTAAAAGAACACGTTCATCCTCATTTCTGGTATCTCTTAAATCTCATATTGGGTTTATCTCGACATCTCGACATAAATAAAGTCTTGAACTTTTCAACGAGAAGCTCCGATTCAACCAAAAGAAGCCCATAAAACAGAAATGTCAACTCCACAGGAGGAATCATCGCCGGTGCCTGTTCCAGAATCAGCACAGGATATTGAATCGAAACCAGAAGGCATTAAAGAGGAATCTTTAAATGATGGTGATCCTTCGACTAACAAGGATGCTGCATCCAGTAACACGAGTGTACCAAGTAAAAGACGAAGGAAGGCACCAGCTACCGGAAAGAAGCCCACGGCAGAAGCATTACAAAGAAGAAAGGAAGGACGGATCAAAGCAGCAGCTACAATTGCACAAAATTTGAAAAAAACAGGGATAGGTAGATTTGAATCTGAAAATGGATTTGGATTAACAAGCGTGAGAAGTATCCCTTTAATTAATCAGAAGAACTATTATACTGACTACTTGAAGAAGGATGAGCAAATATCTTTCATTAGAAACTGGAGGAATGAAAAGTTGTTGCAACTGAAGCTCAATAATCTTAAGAAGAATAACAGCAATGGTAATAGTGACAAGAAAGACGACTCTAACTCTGATGCTAAGAGTTTCGATGAGTTCAATCTTAACGACATTAAAGCTGAGTTGGAGAAAAAGAAAATCATGGATAGCGCCCTGGCTATCCCAGAGGACGAAGAAGAGGAAGATGATGAAGAAGAGGATAACGAGGAAGTGACTGAAGAAAAAGCCAAGCAAGGGTCTGATACGATTGTTATACATCCTGGTTCCTCTCACATAAGAATTGGGAGAGCGACAGATGCCTTTCCTACAACCATTCCAACTGTTGTTGCTGTTCAAACTAATGAACCAAACAACCCATCGTCGAATATTTCTCCAAAAAGAACCGTAGATGAAGATGGGGAAATATATTTCGATGAAGCATTTGATGAAGCAAAGGCCGTTGTAGCTAAGGACTTTAAGGCTAGAATGAGATTTTACAAGAGGAGAATCTTACCAAACTCCAGAGAGGGGGCAATAAACTTCAATAAAAAACAGCAACCGGAAGATATTCCGGAACATAATGATCCTTACCAAAAGACTTGGATTAGCGATACGGGAGATAGAAAGTTTTTCGTAGGAGAAGATGCACTTAAATTACCTATAAGTGAAAAATTCAACACTTGGAAATTAAGATTTCCAATCGTCAATGGTGGATTTAACGAAAGTTCGCCTGATTATAACTCCCCACAAGAGATACTTGGCGACTTAGCTAATATTGTAATTGAGTCTCTTGAAAAGATGGATATCAAAGAAACAAAAAATTTCAAGGCGATTATTATCATCCCAGATTTGTACGATAAAATGTACGTTGAGACTTGGGTTGACTTACTATTCAGATTGGTTGGTTTCGGAAAGGTAGCGATAATCCAGGAAGCGGTACTGGCTACATTCGGTGCAGGTGCTTCATCTGCATGTGTTATAGATGTTGGGTCACAAACAACATCAATTGCATGCGTCGATGAAGGTATGGTTATAAATGACTCAAGAATAACGCTCGACTACGGAGGTGATAATGTAACTGAAGCTTTTATAAAGTTGCTATTACAAAGTCATTTCCCCTACAAGGAAATAAATTTGAACAGCAAGAATGATGATTGGGAACTTGCAGAAACTTTGAAGCAGAACTTTGTTACCTTTCAAGATGCAGACATTGCTGTGCAATTATATAATTTTTACAAAAGAAAACCATTCGAGACAACCCAAAAGTATGAATTTAAAGTCTTTGACGAAGTCATGCTAGCACCAATGGGGCTATTTTACCCCGAGCTATTCGAAATTAACGGTTCGGCAAAGAGTAAGAAATTATTTAGTCCATCAACCGATCAGTACTCCACTAAACCAAATAACCCTTACTCACGTTCACATGAAAACTTAATCAAGAATGTTGTTCATTGTGACATGGTGGATGAAGACTTGTTGATGAGCCTTCAAGAAGAAAGAAGTAGTAAGTCAACAAATCCCTTTTCGAAACCAAAGCCAAGCAAGACAGCTATCCTTGACCACACTGATAATCGAGTCACCACTTCTCTCGAAAAAGCTATCATCGAGTCGATAACAGGGGCAGGTGTAGCCACTGATTTCGGCAAAGCAAAGAAGCTTTACGACAATCTTCTTATAGTCGGTGGAGGTTTTGCAAAAATTCCTGGTTTTGATTTGATTTTGTCCGATCGTATAAACATTTGGAGGCCAAAGTTGTTGTCCACTTCGACTATCGATGAGATCTTAGACTACGTAACCACTGAGAAGCTGAAGCAAGATAAATTGAAGAAACAATTAATCGAAGAGTTAAAAGAGTCGAAGAAAACTTCCCCAGACCAAGCGATCGATGACATAGAATTGTCCGAAGAAGACCTAGAAGATATAGAAAGCCAAACAAGGCCGCAATTGGATTGGGACAAACTCGATGCTCTCAGCGAAAAGGGTAGCTTATTGTCGGTAAATGTCCTTCCTCCACCAAGGGAATTTGATCCAGAAATGCTTACGTGGAAAGGTGGCAGCGTCTATGGTAGATTGAAGGTTGTTAGTGAGATGTGGGTCAGTAACAATGACTGGGACTTGTTACAGAGCAGAAGCTTGTACTATAAAAGTATCTTCAACTATTAGTTTATATACAGACCATAATTTTGTTACGGTTTTTTCCGGAATCCGAGCCACGGCGCTTGTAGAGTCGTCCAGCCTCATGGTTGATGTGCTAATACCGATCCCGGGAGCTTCGCGGGAGAATCATCCCCGCAGTGGACCATCGCCCCCCACATATTTACCAACAATACATATAAACGCTAGTACAACTCGTAGTAGTGTGGTTGGACACTCGCTCCGTTATTTGCCGATCTCGCTACCTCTGTCGCGACGTAGTAAGTACGCCAGTGCGCTTTAGCGGGATCGTCCCTAGAATTGTTTCCAATAGTGTTCCATAGCGCTGAATCCTAATTTACCCGGCGATTTATTGTCCGAGCTTCAATACTTCTGATACGCTCGGTATAGACACCAGGCAACCTATCCAACTTTTTCAACAAATTGTTCATAGACGTGATTTTACACTGGAGCCAACGTAATAGAGCCATAAAACTCTAAATCGTCATATATATTATTCAAGGCTTGAATTAAGTAGCAGCTATTACTTTTCGGCAACATGAACAGACAGTTTATTCGAGGATTGAGCGTTAGCGCCCCCGCTAGAAACTACGCATCTACGATCAAGAACTTGAAGGTTACCAAGGACACCAAAGTGATTTACCAAGGTTTCACGGGAAGACAAGGTACATTTCATGCTGAGCAAGCTATTGCTTATGGTACAAATGTCGTTGGAGGTACCAACCCTAAGAAAGCAGGCACTGTTCACTTGGACAGGCCTGTTTTTGGATCAGTGAAAGATGCAATCAAGGAAACGGGAGCAGACGCCACTGCCATCTTTGTGCCTCCTACTATTGCAGCAGGTGCTATTCAGGAGGCTATAGAGGCCGAGATTGGGTTGGCTGTCGCCATTACAGAGGGAATTCCTCAACATGATATGTTGAGAATCGCACAAATGTTGAAGACTCAATCTAAGACAAGATTAGTAGGTCCAAACTGTCCAGGTCTCATTGCTCCTGATCAGTGTAAGATCGGTATTATGCCTTCTCAGATCCACAAAAGAGGAAAGGTTGGTGTGATTTCCAAGTCTGGAACCTTGACTTATGAAGCTGTTGCACAGACCACCAACGTTGGTTTGGGTCAGTCTCTTGTTATTGGGATGGGTGGTGATCCTTTCCCAGGTACCAATTTCATTGATGCTTTAACCTTATTCTTGAAGGACGACGAGACTGAAGGTATCATCTTAATTGGTGAAATTGGAGGTACTGCTGAAGAAGAGGCTTCTGAGTTCTTGAAAGAATACAATTTAAAGAGACAAGGCGGTCCTAAGCCAGTCGTTTCTTTTATCGCTGGTGTATCTGCGCCACCAGGAAGAAGAATGGGTCACGCTGGTGCCATCGTTGCTGGAGGTAAGGGAGATGCTAAGTCCAAGATTGCAGCCTTGAAAGCTGCTGGTGTCGTTGTTGAAGCATCCCCTGCTAGATTGGGTAACTCCTTGTTACAAGAGTTTAAAGCGAAGGGTTTATTGTAATGTTATAGGTAGCCTATACTTTATTATTATATAAAATACATATCATATTGAATGGTCTTGTATAAATATAGTCGACCTCACGTGAGCGAATCCGAAGTGAAAAATTTCTATCACAAATAGAACTCTTAAGACGGAATATATTAGACACCTGTGGATTTGAGAGTTCTGTTGATTAGAACATGTTGTTCAGGTTCATGTGGCCACGAAGTGGCACAATAACTCCTTTAAGAAACTTTAATATGTTTTCAAGGTCTATGACAAGTAGTATCCCGTTATATAAAACCAACCACTCAACTAGAACGAAGGAGAATGTGCACGATTTGGAGACCTTTTTAAAGCTTATCGGCCGCAACTGTATTGAGCATGCCGAGACCTTTGGGAATGACTTGCCCAAGTTTTTAAAGACATCATCACATGAGATGAAAAATATGGGTATTGATGTTTCCACCAGACGCTACATGCTCAGATGGATTCACAAATTTGAGAATGACTTAGAACCTTTAAGAGAGCATAAGAAAGGAAAGAAGAAGAATGGAGGAGAGAGAAATGCAAAGACAGTATTGGCTAAGAAGAAAGCATTAAAGAGGTTGGAAGAAAAAGAAAAGTTTGCACTAGAAGAGTTAGAAGCAGAGAAGAAAGGAGAGAGAGAATTTTAGATCTAACTAACCAAATTGAAACGAAATGGACATGCAAAATAATCACCACTGGAAACTCCTCTTCTCAGCTCCTTCAAGGATACTTGAGATATCTTTATCATTGTTAATGGGAACATTGTTCCCAAAAATCTGTACATAGCATTTCTTCTTTCATCAATTCTGCTCAATTTTAGTAGCCAACAATAGACAAATATATCATATCTTAGGTTATTTCATCGTAGCATGGTTGGCTGGTCATGATGTATGTTCTTTGTTTCTATCCTTAATTAGCCTATTCAGTTTGTGTAATTTTCAGACCGCTAGGCATACGTATATCATAAGAAATAAAACGTTACCACTAATATAGTATTAGTTTGATCAATTAATATTTTTTTCATCTAGAATCATGCTTAAAATAGTTTCGATTTTAACTCTCGTGCTTGTCTTTGTTGTTCAAGTTGTCATTGCAGCAGATGATCCTCCAATCACTCACAAAGTTTACTTCAATATAACTGAAGATGATAAACCCATTGGTACTATCACTTTTGGATTATATGGAACTGTCGTCCCCAAGACAGCAGAGAATTTTAGGCAATTGACTCTTTCTAAGGATCCAGAATTTGGATACATTGACTCAATTTTCCATAGAATCATTCCTAAATTCATGATTCAAGGTGGAGATTTCGAAACTGGAAAAGGCTACGGAGGCAAATCAATTTATGGAGGTAAGTTTGATGACGAGAACTTCCAATTGAAGCATGACAAGCCCTACAAATTATCAATGGCAAATGCTGGAAGAAACACCAATGGTTCTCAATTTTTTATCACTACTGTGGTAACTAGCTGGTTAGATGGAGCCCATGTTGTATTTGGTGAAGTTGTTGATGGCTTTGACGTTGTCGACTACATTGAGAATGTTAAGACAGGTTATGGAGATAAGCCAGTCAAGACTTTGAAGATCTCGGGTACTGGAGAGATTGAAGTTGAAGAAAACTTTGAAGTAAAGGATGAATTATAATGCTTTAGTTGGTATATAATATATATTTATATCTCCTTTCTTTCTTAAACATTAGGGTCACTTTTCAACCCTAAAAATTCTATTGTACTTCCTTTGCCATATAATGGTATATCCTCTAGATAAATGCTATTGTCATTCGAAATTACACCATTTAAAAGATTATCAAATACTGCACTCTGTATCTCGTTTGAAGAAGTTGTGTACGATACAGAACCGACCGTTGTAAGCTGAGGTGTGTTTGTTTGAGGTGTCTGGTGTTGATTGGGTGTCGCAAGAGTTTTGCCAGGGTCATCGAATTCATTAGCTGACGAGGATAATGCAGATTGGTCTTGAACACTAAAAGTATTCATTTTATTCAAAGTATCAATTGACTTGCTTATGCTTAACACACTCGAAAGTATCCTCGAAGATATCACATCATGGATCTTGGGAGCTTGGTAAACATTCGCCCCTATGATGTAGTAGTCATTTTTTGATATTACAGTTTCAACATTCAACCTTCTCTGTTTTCTAATGATCCAAAAATCGGGCTCTCGAACATAAGCTATAATAAACTCAATGCCAACCATCTCCTTGAGTTTGGACTCAAAGTACGTTTGAGGATTCATGTTAGCTGGAGGAGGTTGAAATTGAAATTGCATGCGTAAAACTTGATTATTCGATGTACGATCATAGAATGGTGATTCTGAGAAGTAGTCAAGAACATTCCCTGTGAAGAGACCAAACTGCTGAATCCATTCTGGACTTTTCCACTGTATCTCATCAAGTGGCTCATTCGACATATTTAATATTTAAGAGTTGATGATACGAAAACTCACAATCTCGATTTTTTATCGATTTACATTAATCAATTTTCAATACATTTTTTAGTATACAATTGAATGCTATAAATTGAAAAATTTACCAGTCTAATATCAAATTTGATACATTGAACTATTTCAACATCTGAACTTTGACAATTCCTCTTTTAACATCTTTGCCTCCTTTTCCATATCCTCTATGGTTCTCGGTACTCTTTGGCTATCTTTAATTTGAACAAAACCGCCATGCTCCTTGAAATCTTGCTTTCTTTTGAAAAAATCTTTGAACTGCTCATCTATATCAGATTTTTCTAGCATTTTATATATGTTATCGCCAAAACCGTCAGATTTATACCTAGGAATCAAATGTGTGTGAAGATGAGGTACACTCTGGCCAGCTTCAGGTCCATCTTGAATCGCAATATTTAATGAATCTGCCTTGTATACATGTATTATGAATTTGTGGATGAGCTGTAATACGTCCATGTAGTCCCTGCTCTCATCAGAACTTAAATCTCCGAATCTAAGCACACTTTCTCTCAAGGGGACAATAAGTACATGGCCAGGAACAATTGGCTTTATATTTACCAAAGCATAAGTAAATTTGGACCTAAAGAACACTTGACGAGTGACAAGATACTTGTAAAAGTAGACATCTGACATGCCATACACTCTGTTTGTTTAATCGTTATATCTCAAAATCAGAATGTAAACGAGTATGAGTTCGATCAAATGGATCGATTTCGATGTAGTCGCAATCGATCAACTCTGCTTTATATCAAAGTTGATATATTGGAGAAATAAAACATACTACGCTTATTATTCAAGGGGGTAGATTCTTAGCCGGTCAATACATCAAACTCGAAAGCAACAGTAAATCGATTTATTATTCATAGATAATTTTAAGTTACATATATATCTACTTGTTAACCTTACCAAAGTACTCCTTTGAGTCCTTAACTTCAGGCTTGATGGTTTCAGAACCTGGTTGCCAGTTAGCAGGACAAACTTCACCGTATTTCTCAGTGAATTGGAAAGCCTCTACTAATCTCAAAGATTCTTCAACGGATCTACCCACTGGTAAATCATTAATGGTGATTTGTCTCAAGATTCCCTTAGGGTCAATTAAGAAAATACCTCTCAATGCAACACCTTCTTCTTCTAAAAGAACACCATAGTCCTTAGACAAAGTATGGTTGGTATCGGCAAGTAACGGAATGTTAATTGGGCCCAAGCCACCATCCTTTCTAGCAACATTAGTCCATGCCAACAAGGAGTACTCGGAGTCAGTTGATGCAAATAAAACTTCGGCATCCTTGTCTGTAAACTTTTTGATAGCATCAGAGTAAGCGATAATTTCAGTTGGACAGACGAAAGTGAAAGCCAAAGGAATAAACGCCAACAAGACCCACTTACCCTTGTATTGATCTAAAGAGATTTCTTCGAAAGTACCATCAACGACAGCAGTTTTCTTGAATTTTGGAGCTGGTTTTTGAATTAAAGCAACCATATTATTGAAAATTATCTAATAAATATTTATATCTAGAGTTAATTGAACAGAATACTTGAAATCTTGGGAGCAAATGGGTCTCCTTATATAGATTTGAGGTTGATAAACTCTCGAGGGATATACGAGGATATAGTTCAGATCCGAGCAGTACTTAACTTCGCTTTGATTATGTGGAAGTCGTTTACTTACGACCAGCGCGGCCCGGAAATCTGACTAATCTCTCTCAAGTCTAGAGCTAAATGAACTAAATATATAATTGCTCCACCAAAATTAGGAATTGAAAAGATCTAGAAAAGAGTCTCATAAATATTCTCCTTAGTAATAAAATGGTGTAGTCTGTATTCCCTCTTCGTTTTTGGTTCTTGAGAAATTTTAAAAAGTATTCAACAATATCGTGGCCAGATTTTCATATCGTTTCTAATCAGAAGTGAAACTGTGGCTTTCGAAGCTTCGGTGAAGTTCGACAAAGAGCTACACGACATTTTTTTCTTGATAACCACCGAGGCAAACAATCGGTAGTAGCGGACAATACTTAAAATGGAATGTCGTCGGCGGAGATTCGTATAACTATGTAAATTAATATCGTTCTCGATAAAGAAATGTTCCTACTCCGATTTCGCATGAGGATAAAATAAGCATATCCGGTAATTTTTGTCGTGGGGGTGAGTTTGGTTCTGGTTGAATCAGACACCATGGTCGGATATTATTACATATCTGTTGTCGGCCCCAAAAACATCGTAGACTTGTAAACTTAGCTACAGTTGTCGGTAACTAAAGGCAAGCTAGCTTTTGAGTGAATTAGACCACCAGAGGCGCCATCTACTCTGTGATTAACAGAATAATAAATGCTCTCATGTCAGAAGTCGTGAATCGAAGCTCACACATGCCTGTCTATGAGTATGAAGTCACGTGGTCTAAATTTAATTACTACACAAGTTGCTTAGAAGTCTCTCTCGCTACAATCGCCAGCAATACATCAATCTCTTTACACCCTTGCCATCGAAAACTATTATAAAAGTTAGTTTAAGTTTATGATGGAAAAATTTGGGTTCCATAAGGTCTCGAATAACCCTGGCCCCGGGCAACCTTCAATCACCCATAGTCGCCCATTAAGATCAAGTTCCAGCTCGCATTCTAGTAGTCAATCACATATAAAGAAGAGGCTTCAAGTTGCTAATTGTCCATCAAATGCTGTGGCACTTGCAAATGCTGTTGCAGTTCATCCCGCTGAATTTGATTTACCTGATAAATCTACAATTGCCCTTGATGGCGATTTCGTCTATACGTTACACAAGGACGCTTCCATGGAGCCAGGTACGATTGGATTGGCAGGAAATGTCAGAACATGGGGCAAATGGTCTTTAGGACAAACGATCAAAGTTGAAAGTTATAATATTTTTGAAAAATCTCAACACTCTTACCTTGGAAGCATCGAAATGAGCATCGATTTTAGGTCCAAGAGTCGGGCCGATAGCACACCTATCAATCACGAAGAATTATGTCAAATCTTTCTTCTGAACTATGAAAATCAAGTCTTGCAACCTACACAGCCTATTGTCATGGATTTTAAAGGCAACATTTTTGCCTTGCTTGTTAACGTAGTTGAAATTCTCGATGTTGATAAAAACCTTCCAATTATAAAGAATTCTACTGATCTTGGCTCAAAAGGAATTTTAGTTAAACTGACGGAGATCAATTTCTTCCCGTACCCAGACTCCAAAGTCAATTTAATCAAGAAAAACGGGTCAAAGTCTAGGAGTAGCAGACCTAGAGCCAAGAAGAATATTATTAATCCAGATTTCAAATTGGAAGATTTAGGAATTGGAGGTTTAGACGACGAATTTCAGGATATCTTCAGACGTGCCTTCAACTCTAGAATATTACCACCGGATATTGCTGAGAAGTTGGATTATAAACATTGCAAAGGTCTATTACTTTATGGGCCACCAGGTACAGGTAAGACACTTATTGCCAGAAATTTAAGTAAAATGTTGAATGGGAAGGAACCAAAAATTGTTAATGGTCCCGAAATGTTAAGTAAATATGTTGGCGCCTCGGAAGAGAATATTAGAAATTTGTTTAAGGATGCAGAAGCAGAATATAAGCAAAAAGGTGACGAGTCTGATTTACATGTCATTATTTTTGATGAATTGGATTCCGTTTTCAAGCAGAGAGGTCTGGCAAAGTCTGACGGGACTGGAGTTGGAGACAATGTTGTTAATCAGTTGTTGTCGAAGATGGATGGTGTGGATCAACTAAATAATATCTTGGTTATTGGAATGACCAATAGATTGGATTTGATCGACAGTGCTCTTTTGCGTCCAGGAAGATTTGAAATTCAAATAGAAATCTCTTTACCTGATGAAAAGGGCAGAAAGGATATTCTATTGATTCACACTGCTAAATTAAGAGAAAATAAATTATTAGACAAAGATGTTGATTTTGATGAATTGAGTAGATTAACAAAAAACTTCACTGGTGCTGAATTAGAAGGTCTTTGTAACTCAGCTAAGTCCTTCGCCATCAGTAGGCATACAAAAAAGGGAAGTATTGCGCAATTTGACTTAGATGCTATCAACAAGATGAAGATCACGAGAAATGACTTCTTGCTAGCCCTCAATGAAGTCAAACCTGCATTCGGAACGGACGAAGAGGATTTAACAGGACTTGCTCCACATGGAATCATTCCTTATAATGCTTCAGTCACGAGTATTTTCAATAGAGGACAATCATTTATTGACGAGGTGAAGAGTAGCGAAACAGAGACATTGATTAGCATTTTGCTTCATGGTCCTATCGGGGTGGGTAAAACTGCCGTTGCTTCAACACTCGCTCTCAACTCTGACTTTCCTTTTATTAAGGTGCTTTCTGCAGAGTCTCTCTTGGGAATGTCGGAACCATCAAAGATTCAGTATATTGATAATGTTTTCAGGGATGTCTATAAATCACCTTTAAATATATTGGTCATTGACAAGATAGAGAATATTATTAATTACGTACCAATTGGTCCTCGCTTTAGCAACGATATACTTCAAATGTTGATGGTTTATATTACAAAAAGACCACCTAAAAACAGAAGACTCTTGATAATCGGGACAACATCTCAATATTCCGTGTTAAAGCATATGAATTTCGTTGATTGTTTTACGAGCGCTATTGGGATACTGCCAATGACAACAGTAGAAGAGGCTGAAAGAGTAATGAATAAACTAGGTTTCATGCTGGAAACAGAAAGACACGAAATCGTACAAGAGTTATCTCGCTATGAACTCAATATCTCAATCAAGAAATTCATCCAAGTGTTGATGAACTGCAGGTACCTTGGAAGCGATGTGGCTGGTGTGGTCGAGAGCGTTGTTGAACAGAACACATAAGCGAATGTACCTTGTTGTTAAGCGACGAGAATTGGCGCAGGGGCCAAACGCTCGCATGTGTCGAAGTTGCAGCTGGATCTGACGCAAATCTGAGGTCGCTTCTGCGACTAATGTTACTATTGCAGTAAGATTACTCTTTCTGTCTTCTACGCCTTACTTACCACGCCGTGTGGCTTCTGCAGTTACTGACCGCTTCTGCAACCTAAATTGAAACTCATTGCTTCTGCATATTCTAATCTGTACACCTCTAACTGCATGTCACCTCTTTTGCACTTTGTCCTTACATAGCTAATAAACACCACATGGCAACTGCACCCCCCCCTCTCTTTGTGTCTCAGATATGAGACAGATTTGAAGATAACCTCAATGAAATAGAAAAAATGTGGACGAATGGGGCGATTAATCTGCGTAAAAGACACCTAAATGTGGTGAGATACTTGTTGTCTTAACAATGTCTCTATCTCGGTTCAGATTTACCTGGTTCTATTATTGATCATCGTTTGTGCGAACTTAATCGCTGCTATTAATACAGCTTTACGCTCAAACAAAGTAACACATTGGGCAAGAAATTAGAACTATGCATTTTCTAGGGGTGTAATGCAAGGGAAATGATGAACTCGGTGCTCATTTGCGAGCCCAGGTATACTGCTTTTACTATGGGATCACTTAATTCTCTATAGGCACTCTGTTGTTACTTGTGCTTCTTGCCTGTGGGTTTGACTGCAAACCTGAAGGAGAACTGCAAAAACTATATAAACTATATTATCTCCCTCCATAAATGAAGCTGGAGAATATAAGACATTGAAGGAATATCGTGACAATATAGACGTTAAAGAAATTAACATGAGCCTTTTTGATTTTCCTTTATCTCCCGATGAGGAGTACTATCACACAGACAGTAACAATAGCTTTGTTGATATTGACATAAGCAGGATTGGATCAGCAATTAGCGAAAGTACCGACTATGGCACAAGTACTGAAGAGAGTATCTCGGGTCATTTTGACAGCTTCCAAAGTAGCGAAAGTGGGAACCTTGACCCGATTAGTCCATTTACATTTGCAACTGAAGATCTCACTGAAGTTGCAACACCATTTTATTCCCACTCTGTTGGAATCCATAACACTCTTGGACTTGGAGTAGCTGAATCTGTTGATCCAATGAAATTAGACAAAGAGAACAACTTGGACATTACTTTTAATGACTTTTCATTCGAACCTGAAGCAATGTTCATTATTCCAGAAGATGGAGAACGAATTGACAATTTAAAGGATAACTTGAATATGATGAAGGACTTGGATCATTCAAGAAATGGCAGGACCATTTTGAAGAAGAGGAAAAGAAGAAGAGAAAAAAAACATCAGACCTTGTCTACACCACCTGCAACTCCAGTTTTGAAGTCATCGTTTACGTTGGGGAAGACAAAAAGATCAAACTTGTTGATTAAAAACGAGTTGGGATCCGATCAATCATCCATGGTTAGGACAGATAAAAATCTTGACCAGTATAACTTGACCATAAAGTTTGTAAGTAAACGAGACATTTATAATAACTACATGACTGTCAATAGACCATCGGCACCAATGAGATTGACGAATGTATCCAATACCCTTGTCCCTCTATCAGCAATGAAATTAAATCCAAGGTTTAGACTTAGTGATGCACAAGTCAGAGAGCATCAAAAGTCCAGTGATAATGATATTGATAGTATCAAGTTTAATTTGAACTACGTGAAAACTTTAAGTAATTCTAAAGAAGATCGCTACTACTCGAGGTTAAACATATTTGAACTATCAAAGATCTTAGAATTGGACATGTACGATATATCTTTGACTAAAGAAATTGAGATCAACATCCTCGAGATTTTCAAAAACTATTGCAACTTTAAGTTAGGATACCAGACATGGATCAGAGATACCACCAAAGAGCAAAGGGAAAATTTAATCAATTTGCTTTACAGCTATACATCTCATTATTATCCCGAGTTTAATAAGTTTAAATTGGAAGTTATTGTGAGACGTGGAAGCTACAGCCTAATGCAAAGTAGATTGAGGAAAGAAAGAAGATCAAACAGGTAGGAGTCTTTGTGCTTTTCAGCCGTTGACAAATCCGATAACCAGCATTCAGCCGGTCTCACATTTGTGTCGCATCAAAAATGCCACAATCTTGATTTACGAGATCCCAAGTTCAATAGCACTTAAACACAAGCATTAATGAGTTCTATGTAAATGAGCTAGTATCAGCGAACAATATGTTTGATGGAATCTTAGTATGCTCAATTGCTATATATCTCAATATAAGGAAATCTTATTAAGTAAACTTGAGGGCAGAATATTGCAGAAACTTCGAAAATTTTATTTTATGTAGATCTCAGCAACTGGCCATAGCATTCTCTTCACCGCTCTAACTATGTTTCCCAATTATCCCTTATCCTCTGTTTTATCACAATACATAAGTTCAGTGTTCAAATGCATCATCAAAGGAGCTAGACGACATTAATACAAATTTTTACCACATATCAAAAGAGATCCAAAGATCATAAAGCGAAGCTCAATTCCAAAAAGCAATTACAGGTTAAAAAGAGAGCAGCCAATGCTCTCGAAGGCCACCATTGTAAGTTACATCACCTTTGCTTTCATCTCAAGCTGAAATAACTGCAAATTGGTAAAGTTGTTTGGAGGATAGTTCAATGTCGTCGCTAAATGTCGCTTTCTCCGCAGTTCGACAAATAGTGTTCAACTACACTATATATAATCATTTGTTGCTCCCTGAGATCACTTGACATTTAGTCTTTTTGGAGTGTATCTTCTATATTATTGTCAAGCGAAATTAGTTTCCTTATAACTATAGAACTTTCTATTTGGCTAGTAGGACCTTTTTTTTTTTGATACAGATTGTCGTTACCTTTTAACATGGGTAATAACACCTCGAGTACACGAAAATCTGCAGCGAATGTTCATCATCCCGATGGCGTCCGAAAGTCGTCAACTCTGGGACCCAGGCATGGTAGTTTGGATGACGAGTTCAGTGATTTAATATTACACAAGGTGCTGAAACCTCAGGCAATAAACAAGGGGCAAGATGCTCCTATGCAAGAAAAATATAGCAATCAATTTTCTAATGACCTCATTGAAGATGAATTTAATGAACTTAACGATGGATTGATTGAGACTGATCCTCCGGAAGTATCTAGAAATTTTTTACCCAACAACGACGGAGACGAAATGGAAATTGATAAGAAAGAAGATAGTCCAAGCTCCACGGAAAATGAAAAGCTGGACCATAGGACCCCAACACCCGATATTGCCAATGTTGATTTCACTAAGATTGCAGCACCTCCATCTAATATGAGCGATGTAATGATTGATACATCTTATTTGGCATCCGAAAGATATCCTGTGAAGAAGAAGGGAAATAACTTAATTCCAGTAGAAATAAAATGGGTGAATTCAACTAAAGAAGTAATCAATAGACTTTCGATTATTGGTTCATTTTCAAACTGGAGAGATATCATAAGATTAAAACCTTCTACGAAGCATCCAAATGAATACGTAACAACGATTAGGTTGCCATTAGGAGTTCACAAGCTTTTATACATAATTAATAATGAATATAGAGTCAGTGACCAATTGCCAACGGCAACAGATCAGGAAGGTATATTTTTCAACTGGTTTGAAGTTATAGATGAATCGCATTTGTTCAATCATTCACAGAATCAGCCAAACCATATTGGCGCGTCAACTGCTTACGATGCAAACATTATAAATCGTGGTGAAAGTCGAACAACACAAACTGCTGGCAAGTATGATGTTGATCGGATTAACAGGAAATCAAATAGTTTCTTGGCGAAGGTTTCCAAGGACGCTCAAAGTTATGAGCACATTGAGTACATAGACCAACCACAAGAACTGGAAATATTCTCTCCGCCAAATGGAATTGAAGAAGAGAACTCGCAATCCTCATTCGGAGAACCTCCCAACGTCAAATATTATGAAGAAGATCAGTACTCGGATTCTTTCTTGCACGATAAAGCACCGGAATCTACACTCTCCTATTCAAATTCAATACCAGAGATGTATGTCAATTATGACTTTTTCAAAAACAAATCTCCAAATTACGAGTTAACGGAACCACCGCAATTGCCCGCACATTTGAACAATGTCTTATTAAATAAAATGTCATTGAATGAGCAGAAGAATCATGCTGAGAACGTACCTCAATATCTTGATTCCAGCAGAGTAGAGTCGAAAAGACCACCGCTAAGAAGAGCCGATAGTTCTTACTATGCATCGAATAAGGAAGCTTATCATTTATCTATACCAAATCACGTAATTCTCAACCATTTGATGACGACTTCCATTCGAAACGATGTATTAACAGTTGCTTGTATCACAAGGTATTCTGGAAAGTTCGTTACTCAAATCATGCATTCACCCTCAGATCCCTAAACATAGCAAATATTACACAGAAATCGAATTGATTTGTCGAAGTCAACATTGGTAAATGATTATCGATGAAAATTGGATTAAAACTGTTTGCTACTTATATACGGGTGAATCTTCAGGTCATTGCTATAATCTGGTTTGCCTTTTTCTTTCTCCTATAGTGTATAGTTTAGTTCAAACGTATATTTTCCAATATCATCTATTTGTGACTTTTGAAACGGCTAGCTCGGACAAAGTTACAAACAGATCTGAAACATTCGAATATTTATATCAAGAGGAAATATAAAGTAGGAACAAGCCTCATCAACGGGTGAATTACTGAAGGACCATCCAAGCAGCTAACGGTTAGCGGATCTACAATGTCTTGGAGTGGAATCAAAAAGGCCATCAATAGGGCCGGGACCCAGGTAATGTTGAAGGCTGGCCAAATAGAACAAACAGTAGACAAGGAATACGAATATGAAGAGAAAAGGTTCAGGGCTATGGAATCGTCGTCCGGTAAGCTCCAGAAGGAGCTAAAGCATTATTTAGATACCCTACGCATGGTGACCAATGCACAAGTTAACATTGGAGAAATGATGGCATCGTTCTATGGCGAGATAGACGCCAGTAAACCGAACAGTAGCATATCTCAAGACTACTATGATGTCGTAAAATACTTGAATGAAAAGTGCGTCGCTGACCTTGAAGAGCCCTATCATCACACGGTATTGAATCCTGTTTCACGATTTAACTCGTACTACGTGGAAATCAACGAGGCCATCAAGAAGCGTGCTCACAAGAAATTAGATTACGACTCAATGAAAAGTAAAGTCAGAAAGTTGGTAGAGAAGCCAACTGATGATCCCCTGTACGAGCTGAAGTTGGGTGGCGCACAAGCACAGTTGTCACAAATGGAGAAGACATATGACGAACTAAATACACAGCTTAAGCTGGAGCTACCCAAACTAATCAACTTAAGAATACCCTTCTTTGATCCTTCATTCGAATCATTTGTCAAGCTACAGCTTCGATTCTTCAACGACAATTATGCTCAGTTAAACAAGTTACAAACTAAGTTAGATGCTAAAACCAGAGACGATTACATCAACGGAAATTTGGAAAAGAGAGTCGACGATGTTTTGGTGAAAATGAAAGAATTGAATATCACGAGTATTTAGGACGACAGTATGTTTATATTCAGTAGCATTTATATTATGTATGCCCTGGGGGCCCATGATGCAATTATTAACATAATTTATGATCTAAAAGTAATGCGACACACACGTAACTCGGAGAAATTCCGTTTCAAATAGGCAACTCGATAAGAATCTAAAAGCGCTTTTCCCATACTTTATGACCTATTATAGCAGGCTACGGAACATATGTTTGAAAAGAAGCTACGCAACTTGACTGTAGCGAAGTCTCTTGAGAAAAAGCCGCCTTTTGATGAAAACTTTTGGGGACGGTATGTCGATAGCTTATCAAAGAATGTCAAAGAACAGTACGGTGATCCCCTTCAACCTAACCCTAAAAAGTACCACAGCAAATCGTTTGCTGTTACTAAACTTCAGAAATACTTCGAGCATTTAAAGCTCCCTAGGCCATCTGCAAACGAAGCCATAACAGCATTAAAATCGCCATTTACACAGGGTGATTTAGTGAAGGCATTTCACTTTATTAGATTTTTCCAGTTGAGTTCGGAGGGCTTATTTTTGACAAATGAAAACAGAGACAAGCTTGGACATGCGATAAACTACGTGGGAGCGGAAAATTGGGGCAATGTAATGTGTTATCTCGATGCATTATTCTTTTCCATGTTCGCTAACCTTGAAAGCTTTGAACCTATATTATTTATATCAAATAAGCACCCCAATCACTTGGTGTATCAGTTGGCTGCATTATTAAGATTGTATGTCAATTTGATTCGATCCGGAAACTTGATAACAACGGATATCACTATTAGATTATGTGAGATATTAGAACAACTAGGATTCGAAGAGGCCATGTCTCGTAGGCAACAAGATTCAGCGGCTCTATTTGAATTTTTGACAGAGATCCTTGCGATGCCTTTGCTTACATTTAAAATCGATATTAAACATGGAGGTAAATTCAGCAAGGAAGACGATCAGAAGTACTCGAAAGAAAGAATTCTATTTGTTAGCATTCCCGATGATGAGGCGAACCATGACGATAACATATTGCTCGAAGAGTGCCTAGAACACTATTTCAATAACTCTATTAGTGTCAAAAGAGAATTGGAAAGAAGAGCTACTTTGGAAAGCTTACGAAAAGAAGACTCGCAAAACCCACTGTTGGGCACAGTTGAGGTAAGAGTATCAAATGGTGATCAAACTGTAGAATCGGATGTGAGAGGCTCAGAGAAGCTAAAGAGAAGTGATTCCAAGAATCAAGTGAAAGTAACTTCAAGGGCAAGATCATCTACACTTTCCTTATGGTCGTTGAATGATGCGGACGTAACCCCTTCTAATCCAAGAGAGGTGAATTTACCCGCATGGATGTTTTTGCGTCTTTTACCATTCTATACAGATGATAATGCCTCGTCAGGTACGAACAGTTCTAGCGCTGTAAGGAATTCGAAGGAATTTGTGAATAGAAGGCCGGTTTTACCTATCTGCCTCAAGAGATATTCTTTCGATTCTTCAAACTCTCTGGCAACCCGTTCTTCTAAGAGGATAATTATTCCTCCTATAATAAATCTTCCTCAGTTTGTTGCGGATGATGATAACGATGAAACCTCTGGAGATTACAAATTAATTTTAGAAAGCGCAGTCTGTCATAGAGGTACTTCTATTTCATCGGGACATTACATTTCTGTTGTCAGGAAAGACACCAACAACGTCAATGAATCAGAGGAGGAAGCAACGAATGCAATATGGTACTTGTATGATGACGTTAATAAAAAATCGAGAATTACTGAGAAGAGTTTCAAGCAAATTTTTCAAACAGAATGGCCCTATATGCTATTTTATCGATTGATTTCCAACGAGGAGAGTAACTCTAGTAGTAACACCTCCGCAAATGTTAGTGCAAATTCGAGTATTAGAAGAGGAGTTACAGTTCAAAAATCAGTTTTACCCCCTCAAGGCTCGAAAGTCCATTATTGGTCAGAGACAGAACCTTTAACGCCTATAATATCAAGTACAAATTCACCTAGTTTAAGATCTGTGGAGGGTATTACTGAAAGCATCAACAGTAGTACCTCAAGTATCTTGAGTCTCGATATTTCGCCAAATGATTCAAAATTCATAGATATTAGAGATAAATACTTTTGGTATTTGACAGACGACGATATGAATTATTATAAAGAGTTGCCTACTAATTCGACCTTTATTGGCAGAGAGCCTAGTATTTCTATTAGTCAAAAACTTCGTCGAAATAGTCAATGGAGTGCCGCCACAAATCATTCTAAGCATCACTTGCAACCTAATGAAAGCAGAACGAGTTTAAGTGGCGATGAATTATACGCTTTGGGCGACAAAGTAACAGTATTAGATTTAGACAAACTTTCAAAGAGTGCTTCTAACAAATCCAAAGTGCCTGAACAGATAGAAGACGTTGCAGTAGGAAAAATTCCTTCCACGTCTCCGAAACCCAGTGACAAGCATTCGGATCCCATAATTAATCACATTTCAACTGAAGACTCTAAGACTGTGAAAAGTAAACGTCATAAGAGATTTCATAAACGCCGTGAAGAATATAAAAATGAAAAGTGTATAATAGCTTAATACCCTTTTATTTAAATTCCTGTAAAATAAATAGTTATAAGGAAATGCATAACATGGTGGTTTTTAAATTTAATCACAGTAGAATATTTCTCCAGAAGCACCAGCCATTATAACTTTACTAGATTCCTGGGGGTGGAATCTAATACATTTTATCAATTTATTTGATACAGGCAATTTCTTTATTAGCTTGGTTGTTTTCCAGTCCCAAAAATACCCATTACCTTTCGAATCCCCACTCATAATTATCTTGCCATCAGGAGAAATATCAAGTTCAATTCCGTATCCTGCTACGTTGTGTCCACGGAAAACCTTCTTTTTATTAAACCTGTATTTGCCATGTCCTTGAATCACTTTGATAGAATTATCCATGTTTTGTAATGCAATGTAATTACAACCAGGATAAATAGCACTACATGGCATCGAGTGAAGTGAAGGATCAGATATAGACTTTACTGGAATATTAATTTGCCAATCCCAAAATTTGACAGATTTATCATCCGAAGTTGACATAAACCGAGACCCATTTTCTATTATAAGAAGTGAGTTAATTGCACCTAAATGATGATCGTACACTTGAATAGGGGTTTGTAAGTCGGATGAAGTTAAATCATAGTGTTCAATATTACGATTTGCCAATCCAACTAAAAATTCGTTTTCATTATTTGGGTTGAATTTCAATGCATTTGGAGTAGCTTTTACTCTTATAGTCTTAAGTATTCTACCTGTTTCCGTATCCCATAGGTTTATCCTTTTATCAAAGGAGCAACTTAAAAATTGGGTTCCAGTGCTATTGAATGTTACGTCCTTCACACTTAAATCATGCCCAGAGTAGATACGAAGTAACTCCCTTTTCCCATATAGACTCCATAGCTTAATTTTTCCGTCATTGCCACCAGAAAGGAGAAGATGTCCAGACTTGGGAAAGAATTCTAGTTTATTTACTCCCTTCAGATGTCCATTGAATGTATAAATGACTTTTTTGGGAACAAAATTTTCTATAGAGCCAACATCCTTGGTTAGGCTGATTCCTATGTCCTTTGGCACATGCATATATGATCTTCCCAAATAATCAAATTGAGAAGATCCCACAAACTCACTAGTATTTTCTTCGTCATCTTCAGCTTCACTAGAGCTATCGGAGACGTATCCTTTTTCTTCCAGAGAGACACGATTCTCCTCCACTATAATATCTTCCTTATCTGCATTTATGATAATCTTTTCATCTTCTTCTGACTCCAGTTTTGCCCAGGGACCTAGATAGTTGAGATCTTCAGGATCCCTTTTATTTATTCTCCGTCTTTTTATTCTCTTGCTTTCAGCTTTACTGACCTTTTTGTCCTTGAAGTCATCCGATGCTAGCTTTGATGAGATGCCATCAAAGTATCGGCGTTCTGCTACTCCCCCAAAATTCTTTTTAGCATTATCTTTCATTGCAACTTCATTCAACTCAGTATGCTGACCTACATCATCAGGTATCTTGGTAAATTTAGCCAAAGAAGGATTTGCCAGACTCGATAATTCAAAGCCACTCTCAGAGTCTGACGAGTATCCTTCGATAACTGAGCCCATCGTCACCATGTTTCTTAGGTTCACTTTGTATTAGCAAGCTTTAGAAGATCATCGTGCATTACATAATTTTTCAGGCATCGCAAGATACCATTATAGCTTTTTACTTTTTTCAAGTGTAACAAATATTTAGTGTAAGAATAGAATAGCAATGGGGAAGAGAAGAGTAGATGAAGATGATTCTGACATCGATATTAGTTCTACTGAATCTGAGAGTGAAGAACAGCAAGAAGAGATAGTAAATGTTGATTTCGATTACTTTGACTTGAATCCAGAAGTTGATTTTCATGCTACAAAGAACTTGCTTAGACAGCTATTTGGAGACGATGCAAATAAGTTTGATATATCGTCTCTTTCTGATTTGATTTTGACCAAGAATTCCGTTGGTACGGCTATTAAAACTGAAGGTAAGGAGAGTGACCCATTTGCTTTATTATCTGTAATTAATATCTCAGAGTACATTTCTAATCCTAGTATAAAACCTTTGGTTGATTATGTCATTGGTAAGACAGCTAAGGATGTGGAGTTCAATCTCATGCTCAGGAAATTGTTAAAGAAAGATTCACCTAAGAAAGTCGGTTTGATAGTTAGTGAGAGAATGATCAATATGCCCGTGGAACTAGTCCCTCCCATGTATAAATTGCTCTTGGAGGAAATGACTAAGGCAAGTGATGCTAATGAAAAGTATGAATTCGACTATTTCATAATTATATCTAAGATTTATAACCTTGTTGCTCCTAATATTGTTGATGAAGAAGACTCAGGGAAGAAGAAGAAAAAGAAGCTTCCAAAAAATGAACCTGCACCTTTAGAACAAGACTACTTCCATTACGAAGACATAATTTTGGAAGAGAATGCCAAATACTTCGGAAACTATCCATACACAGAAGTGAGCCAAGAAACAGACTCCAGAAGAGTATTTACTGAATATGGAATAGACCCTAGGTTGAGTATAATTTTGATATCAAAAGACTCTTTGGCTACTTCCATTCCTCTTATGGAGGAAAAATTTCCCCCGTTTTAGCTATAGTAGAAGGATAATACGAATACAAAGGATTAAGTGAAACGTTTTGATTTATAAATGAATTTTTTTTATTTCAAGTTATCTTCTCGCTTCGCCAGAATATCAGTCAATTCCAATAATGTAACTACATAGCCATTGGATATGTAAAGAACCTCACTGCTAGTAAAAAGTCTCTCGAATCAGTCTCCCTAACCTTCCACTATGATTGGGATTACTTGTACAAGTCACGACCTTTTTTTTTTTTCCATCAAATTTTTTCATGTATAGATCGTAGGTTCAACACGTTCATAGCATTACAGCTAATAGTGGTTTGAATAAGGATAACATCATGGTGCCTCCTCATAGAAACCATAATTTCCGTCCGGAAAATGTTTTGAAAAGAGCTGAAGATTTGATCGCTGTTGGTCAATCTGAAGCTGCATTGGAAACTTTGTATGACTTCATCACATCGAAGAGAATCCGTTACTTGGCAGTGGAGGATTTGGAGCCTATTGCATTACTACTTATTGAGCTAGCAGTTAACTTAAGAAGAGGTAAATTAGCCAAAGATGCGTTACATCAGTACAAAAAGAATGTGCAGTTATCGGAGAATGGGTTAGAATCAGTGCAAGTGATTGTCAGAAGGTTCACCAGCTTAGCCGAAAAGAAATTAGATGAAGCTCAAACTAAGGCAGACACAAAGATAGATCAAGATGAAGAAGATGATTTGGAGACTTCTCAGACTCCTGAAAGCATTTTGCTTTCAGCTGTTTCAAATACCGACTCAGCTGACAGAACTGAGAGAGAGTTGGTCACACCTTGGTTGAGGTTCTTGTGGGAAGCCTTTAGGGCATGTTTAGATATCTTGAGAAATAATTCCAAATTGGAGGTTACTTACTCTGCTATTGTCAATCAGGCTTTCAAATTTTGCTTGAACTTCAATAGAAAGTCTGAATTCAGGAGATTATGTGAATTGTTAAGAGCACATATGCAATCTGTTACTATGCCCACAAAAATTACCAATAATAACAATAATGCTATTGATTTGTCTGACACCGAAACTGTCCAGCGTTATTTAGAACAAAGATTTGCTCAGTTGAATATTGCAGTAAAATTGGAGTTATGGCAGGAGTCTTTCCGCTCTGTTGATGACGTTCATACTTTGATAACTGCATCAAAGAAGGCACCCAAACCTAACATGATGACTAATTACTACGAAAACTTAGCTAGGATCTTTGCTGTTTCTGACAACAGTTTATTCCATGCTGCTGCTTGGAATAAGTTTTTCAACTTGTATTCGCAGTCACCAAATGCAACAGATAAGGAGTTAGGTCATTATGCTTCTATTCTTGTCTTGGCAACGTTGGCAACACCTCAAAAGACGATAGGTAATGAAACAGTTGTTGATGATCACAAAGCGAAGAACTCGAAGCTCTCTTCCTTGTTGAATCTTAATCATGTCCCTTCAAGAAGCAGCTTATTGAAATCTATTGTTAATAGATCGATTTTAAGCTACGTCACGCCTTGTGTCAAAGAGTTATTCGATGTTTTGGAAGGAGGTCAATTTCACCCTCTTACTATCAAAGAGAAAGTTGTTCAAGTATTTAAAGTCATTGAAAAGGATGCTGATTATAAATCTTATATTCCTACTTTGACTGAGGCAATTTTAATAAGACTCTTCCAACAAGTTTCTCAGGTGTATGAAGCTGTGAAATTGGAATTTTTGGTTTCCTTAGGTACTTTCACTGGAATCGAGTACACATTAACTCCTCTTCAAGTGGAAGAGCTAATTGTGAATGCCGCTAAGGATGGTTATTTGTCCTTGCTTATCGACCATGAGTCAGATGTCATTACATTCAAGTCCAGTCCATTTGAAGAATCCTTCAATGACTCAATTAATGATAAGCTTCAAGCATCTCCCGCAGAACTTGTTCGCACTCAGTTGTCGAAACTTGCTAAGACGTTATCCTCTTCAATTCAAATCATCGACCCTGAATATGATATTCGCCTTGAGAAAAATCGGGAAATTGCATTAAGAAATGCAATGAACGATATTGTTAGGGAACAAGAGCAACTTGCTAATCGTGCTAAGGTGATGGAGGAACGTAAGCGTATTACTGAGAAGGAGAGACGTGAGCAAGAGGAACAAGCTTCAAGGATCAGACAAGAAAGATTAGTCGCGGAGCAAAAGGCTGAACAAGAGAGAATGGTCGCTGAACAAGAAAGAAGAAATATTGAAAGATTAGAAAGAGAGAAAAACTTAGTCAGAGAAAAGGAGAAGAGGAAAATTGCTGAAGAAATTAATGCAAAGGGTATTATTACTATTGATATGGATAATTTGGATGACTTGGATCCTGATAAGTTACGTATGATGCAAATTGAGCAATTAAACAAAGACAAGAAAATTTTGGAAGAGAAGCTCAAATTGTTGTCGAAGAAGAACGACTACATGGAAAGAGCATTCAGGCGTTATGAGTTGCCATATTTAGAGAAAGATGCCGAGAAGCAAAAAGCTGAAGAATTGACTAATTACGAAAATCTCAAGACTGCTAAGATTGAGAAAGCCAAGAAGGAACATAAGGAAGCACTTGAGCTCAAGGATAGATTACTGCGTATATTGCCTGACTATACTTCATTCAAAAAAGTTATTGACGAGAAAAATAGCTCTAAGTTAGCGGAATTAAAGGCAAAAGCCAATTCTGATTTGCAGAAAGCAAAGGCTGCTCGTTTAGATGAAATCAAGAGAGCCAGATTAGAGGATTTGAGAGAAATCCGCCAAGAAGCTCAAAGAGAAGCAGAGGAAGAGGCTCTCAGAAGGAAGAAAGAGGAAGACTTGGCTAAGTGGAAAGAAGAACTTAGATTGCAAAAAGAAAAAGACGCCGAATTCCTCAAGAAGAGACAAATGGAAGCTGAGATGAGAAGCAATGGTCAAGCACCGACTTCAACCTCTCCTGCAGCTCCTAGCGCACCTCTTACTCCTGCTGCATCAGCTGCTGCGTCAGCTGCTGCAAGGGCTGCTCCAGAGCTTGTTGCTTCTCCTCCACCAGCTGAATCTAAACCTTTAACATTTGCTGAAAAGATGAGATTAAAGAGACTTGGTAAACAAGCATGATCAATTCTATAAGTAGCTTTTCTGTCTTCTATAGCTGAATATATTTTGTTAAGTACTTTTTATATAATAGAAATTTATCGACTTCGTGCTGATCCTGTCGCAATATTAAAATCTATTTAAATATTCAGTTCCAGGAAACGATTCAATTATACTAGATTGCTCTAGAATGGTTGAAATCACAATAATTGGCTCTTTAAACTATGATTTGGTGACCTTTACGAAAAAGGTTCCTGATGCTGGAGAGACTTTTCAAGCCAATCTGTTCGAAAATCATCTCGGAGGAAAAGGATTGAATGAAGCATTGGCAGTTTCAAGGTTGACCGGCAAGAACCAAAGTATCAATGTTCGTATGATAGGCAATGTCGGTGATGATTCATTTGGAAAAGAACTCAAACAATCCCTAGTGGATCAAGGGGTCGATACTACACATATAAAGACTTTGAAAGGCATTTCATCTGGAGTTGCTGTCATTATGGTTGAAGAAAATGGTGAAAACAGAATTTTGATTACTGCTGGTGCCAATGGTGAGTTAAAACCTAGCGACGAAGATTATAAGCATTACTTTCCAAGAAATGAGAGAGGAAATTTTGTTGTTTTGCAAAATGAGTATCCGGACACAGCAAAAACAGTTGAATGGTTGAAACATAACCGTCCAGAAATTAACATTGCATACAATCCTTCCCCTTTCAAGCCAGAAATACTTGACAAAAGGTTCTTGGGATACATAGATTTGCTCATTGTCAATGAAGGAGAAGCATTAGATGTGGCCACCAATTTGTTACCTCCGAAAGACCATGAGATATTTCAAGATACCATAAAAAACGATAGAATTGATGGGTTTCAAAAAGTTGCTGAAAAGCTTCGAACAATGTTGAATCAAGAGAATGTTTGTATTGTGATTATCACCATGGGAAGCTTAGGTTCAATTGTCACATCTAAGTCGTCGGAGTCAACTTTCCATAAATCCAGAAAAGTTAAGGAAGTTGTTGACACAACTGGAGCTGGGGATACATTCTTTGGGGCTGTGGTTCTGCAGCTAGCTCTTGGATCCGATATCGATAGAGCCATCACTTTTGCTACCGTTGCAAGTAGCTTGACCATTCAAAAGAAAGGAGCTGCGGAAAGTATCCCTACATTTGATATTGTTAGTTCAAATCTATAGGTCTATTAATGTTTAAGCTCCCTCAGAGTAGAGGTTTCATCCCTATGTACAGCTTCTGCGAAGAAAAAAAAAGTCCAAAGAAGTTATGTATGTTTATGTAGTTTAGCTATTAGAGCAAAATATTAACTATTGCCTGTGGGTTACTCATGCCTTTCTAGAGCGAAGTGTTCTATCAGCACCGCCAGCTCCTGGGGCTGGCGATTCACTTCTCGAAGTGGCATAAACATATTCATTTACTTGAGCAGCCACACCACCTTTGATGGCCTTCACTTTCTTTGATTTTCTAGAAGATTTCTTTCTGTAAACATCAATATAAAAGGCAATGAAAAGAACCAAGTAAGACGACAATATGGCACATCCAGAGTAAGCAGCTACCATAGTACCTGCGCAGTCACCACAAATAGGAAGAAATGTAACCTTTGAGAAGTAAGTGAGTACAATCTTTTGATAGGTTGCAAAATAAACAAAACCTAAATCTAATACGAATTGAATAATTTGAAACCTTGTCACCCACTCCTTCCACCATACTCTAATTCCTCTTGCAGCTAAGAAGTAATACCAGTACATAACAACATGGACACCTAAATTTAAGGTAATTGGTACCCAAGAAATCGGGGTGGTTCCAATTAACTGCGTGTAGCATAACAAAGCTGTAGCTCCATGATGGTAAGTATGCAAAAATGTCAATTTCTTTTGCTTAACAACCAAAAATACTGTATCAAGAAATTCACAAAATTTGGTAATATAGTTGAAATAATAAAGACAGCATAACTCCACGGTCCATGCTTTGGGGCTGCAAATAGCATAGAAAATACCATGTCTAATAATAATAGGAATCAACTGTTCTACCATCAATGTCAAGAGGGACAATGATAAAGTAGTCAAGACCAAATTGTGAATCTGGAACAACTTGTTCAATACAAGAGGCTTGATTTTAAATCTCTTGAACACGTAATCGCCCCCAAATATCACCAAGTAATAAGTCCCTATAGCTACAACCACAGGCGGAAGCGTAGAAAAAGGTAATTCTCCCGCTTTGAACTCAAATTTTTGTGGAACTAGCTTACCTCCACTAATTTTGGTCACTAGCGCATTAAAATAATACCATAAATAAATGCCAAATGGCCTGTCAACTGTTGGTAGTACCATGATTATAGCCTATATCAGTGAACTGTAACTCTTTAACTATAATGAAAAATTATAATTAAAATGATCTTCTTATTGAGCCTATATCAACTTAATATTTGGCGAAACTCTTTACTTATATATACCTGGAAAAGAGTTCGTACTAAAAAAATTATATCTCCTAAAAACTATTAAAAATAATAACAACTTTGGGCATACTGTGAATAAGGGTCGCGAAAAAAATTTTGATAGAGTAACAAAGACGTGAAACGGCCGCAGATACTACGTGGGGCGAAGCCATTCAAAGGATCTGAGTATGACGAAGGGAAGTGGAGAACGAAGAATGCAACCCACGGAAGATATAAAGAAAGATGGGGACGCGTCAAGCGTAAGAAGAAGCAGTGATAGTGATAATGATCGTGCAAGTACTAGTGACAGCAATAGCAGCGGGGACGAAACATCTTCAGATGAAGAAGTAATATTAAAGCCAGTTTTCATCGATAAGTTTCGCAGAGCGAAGACAGTAGCATCAAATGACAAGCGAAGCAGAGGGTTGGATAGAAATGATAAAGCATTAGTAGCATCTAAGATGGATGCGATGAGTCAACGAAGTACAGTTGAAATGGATGTCTTTGATGGCGTGGATGATACCGACGATATAGACCCGGAAGGAGATTATGAGGCATGGAAGAGACGGGAAAAGGAGAGATATGTACGCGATAGAGCGCTTTTGGAAGCACAAGAGGCAGCAAAGAATGACAAATACCGAAGACTGAGGGCCGCAGAAGAAGCAATTGCTGGTCAAGAGATCAAGGCTGCAGAGTCTACTGAGCAGCGTGACGGACGACGTCCTCTTCACCGGGGAGCCTTTTTTAATGATGACGAGGAGATCCAGTCTCGGTTCTTGAAGAGAGATTACGATGACGTGGAGGATAATAAGGACCATTCACGTCCCACTAGACTTAAATTTTAATATATATAGCAATGACTTACGACTACCCACGACAATTCGGTTATCAAATTTTGTTCTTGAGTGTAGATTTCCCTCATATTTTAATTCTTTCATATGTTTGGTGTTCCGCGGACTATTTACATTCGGAGTTATCATCTATATCTACAACATGTCGTTAGCTCCGCTTCCAGAATCGCTCAATCCGTTACTTGACGAGTACTTGGTTCCAGGTAGCTTAAGCAAGCCTTTTGTGACGTTGACCTACGCGCAGTCCCTTGATTCTAAGATCTCTTCACTGGTGGGAGTTCAAACTAAGATTTCACACGTTGAAACCAAAACATTGACTCACCATATAAGGTCCAGGCATGACTCCATACTAGTTGGAATAGGTACAGTTTTGGCAGATGATCCAAAATTGAATTGTCGTTTAGGTGGCGACTCTAGTTCATCTCCACGGCCAGTAATTATAGATCCAAAAGGAAGGTGGAACTATGCTAGCTCGCAGCTTAGAAAGATCGTTGATAACAAGAATGGAAAAGCTCCTTTTATAGTGACGGACCTGTCAGAGTCAATAGGAGGTGAATCATTGAAAGTTTTGGAACAACAGGGTGGTAAGCAGATCAAGCTACCTCTTCAGGAAAAAAGATATGAAAATTGGGACATAATATTATCTAGTTTATATGAATTGGGAATTAAATCTGTAATGGTTGAAGGCGGAGCTACCGTGATTAATGATTTACTTGCATACAAAAACAAAGATGGAAGGACATTGATAGATTCTCTCATCATTACCATTGGGCCAGTTTTCTTGGGCAGAAATGGCGTTGATGTAAGTCCTTCGGAACATGTTGATCTCAATAAAGTTAAGTGGTGGACTGGAATACAAGACAGCGTTTTATTCGCCAAAGTAGTACTGAATTAGAATATATTACAATAAAAAAAAGCCATAAACAAAACTAAAGTATAGCAGTATTTCTTTTTCTCCACATCTGTCTTATAAGCATATTCTATAAGAGGCATAACGACCAGAGGTCTCAGATCTCCTAATTATTTTGACGACCTCTCCTCTTTTTAATCCCAAATATCTTGCCACAGGGTCTTCTCTTTGGATTCTAGGTAACTGGGACTCTTTTAATCTATATCTCTCTAATAAGTCTTTCTTTTCTAACTTAGCTAATTTGATGTGTTTTGGAACTAATTCGTGGTGTGTAATGTTCACGATAAGATCACTTTCTTGAAATGTTTCAATGGATGCCGGGGAAACGGTAGGAATCAACTTGTTAGCACTGGGTGTTATTGATGATTGATAGATGAATATTCCGGTACTAAAGTTTCTCTCACTTATGTGAATGCAAAAATTTCTCATGGTCTTGATACCTACAGATGCCTCATCACAGAATTCAACCCACAAGGAACCAAGCTCTGGAAACTTTTCCATTGCCTCTGCAGTGGGATTTGCCTGAAAACACATCAATTTTCTTTGAGGTAATCCCATACTATCGCATATTTTAGATCTGAATTCATCTAAAGACATGTCTAATTCCTCTTGAGTAATATAATACCCCTATTTACGTTAGTAAGTTTGTTCACCTTGTAGATGTCGCCCACTTCTATGACAACCTCAAATAGACTTTATGATCACTTACTCTGTCCCTAACGATCTCTTTGACCGTCTTGAATGATCTCCACAAACGAGAAACTTGTCTATCTGTATCCTCCATCGCTCAAATTGGTGTATTCTCAACAAAATATTGGATTCTGTCAGTGATTCTATTTATTGTAATCATACTTTATGTCGAGCTGAATTTTCATAATCTCTCTCATCTCGAAATTTTCGCAAATTTTTCACGTGATCGTATGAATATCAATTGAAAAGTGATAAGAATGGATCAAGAAGCGTAAGGAATCTATTTTGCCATACAGAAAAGATATCTAAGTCTATTAATCAAATTTTCGTCTGAATTTAAGCTCAATGTCTGTATTTGACTTCCAAATATTGGTTTTTATCGCCTGTAAAGTCATGTTGGGAGCTAGCTCTTGTCCTCTACATTCAACAGCAAGCCACTCACTGACTGGCTTGCGGTCTTTCATCTCTGAAGTTCGTGACTCAAACTTCTCAGTGACATAAAATAGGACCTTACTCACTCTGAGCATGTTGTGAGATGTTAACCTTATGGAGCTTTCAAGTGACGGTAACTTTTTTATCTTTCTTTGAGACTTTCCCCCGATCTTTTTATCCGGCGGAAGAGTAGCGTAGTCGCATTCAGTTAACAGGAAAGCTATTTTAGGGCTCTCCTTAGTAGGATAAATTGAATATAGTAAAGCCCGGCCTATCCAACGAGGAAGATAGAGTCTTAACTCGGTCACTAGGGATGTCGTGGCCGACGATCCGAGCCTCGACAAGTCTTCCACTGTGAAACTGCACAAATCTCGAAGGTTTCCCAATTTCGAAGACCATTCAAATATTATAATATCTAAGCTTTGAGGGAATCGTGACGTGCTGAATAAGGGTCTATATACCTCATCCAAATTTGTATAGTAAGTGTTCAAAAGCAGATCTACCTGTTTACTTCCATCATTTATCTTTTCTAGGTATTTACTTTTGTTCAATTGTAACAAGGACATCACAGAGTCTTCATTTCGTGCATTCTTATTTTCATTATCGGAAAAGGTCATGAAATCAGAGACCGAGCTCTCAGCTAACTTAGACACTTGGTCACTAAAAGAAGAGCTTTGCGATAAATTCAGGCCATTTCTCTGTAATTGAGGCGCCTGCAGCAGCAGCTGCAGATGCATACTTGATCTCGAAGGAATTCTACCAAACAGCTTGAGTCTTCTGAAAGTACTGCCACCTGGAAAGACAGATTCCGAGACCAGCTCATCGCTGATAGTTGTGGACGATCCTTTGCAATCTTTCTTTTTATGCTTTTTCAACTCTTCTCTCATGTGATAATCAAACTCCCATTCGTAAAGAATATAGTTCTGAAACAAAGAGGTTAAAAATAAGGCACTAATGTAAAACCTGTCATCATTTGTAATTGTTTTGTTGTTTCCTTTCTTGTTGACTGTATTTTCAGGATGATCGTGGGCTAAGAAAGGATAAGATTCAACCAACTCGTCATAATAAATTTCCATAGATGCAAAAGACGACTCTTTCAAGGTAAGCATTAATTTCCCAGCCTTGATCTCAGCCTCGCACCAGTTACCTAATATATCCAAAGTCTGGTGATCTTGGAATATATCTTCCATTTCTCTGAGCCTATTTTCTAATAATTCTTTTGTGAGAGGATGCAGTGCTTTAGATGAATATGGAAAGACTTTGATCACTTGACAGATAAAGATATCCCACAACTTGATATCCCCATTTAGATACAAAACTAACATATGTCTTTTGTTGTTGATCATTCTCTTAGAAATGATACTTTTAGGGACCAAATTAAATATATCAACTGGTCTTCGATTGAAAGGTATTAATGTAACATGGTCAGAAGCCACTGGATTTAGTAATATCTCTACTGGTGTAGAGTCTACTATTGGATCATTTTCTTTAAATTTTTCCAAGCCTTCTTTGAACGTATTTACATACTCCAAAGAGGGACCACCATTTATATCCAAAAACATGGTCTGGTATTCGCTGTTATCAATTTGTTCATAAGGACTGGGAATGTCGGGGCTCTGAATAGATAATGGGTAGTTAGCGCCTGAAATCGACGACTGTATTTCTAAATTATTCGTATCCATCGATAAGTGACTTACTAGATCATGGAAATCAGAATTTAAGTCATTTTGATCGCCCGTTGCCCCCTCGACTAACCCAGCCGCAATTTCGTCGTTAATTTGTCTTTCATGGTTGGTTGTATAGTCCATGAATTCTCTCAAATACTGATAATGAGAGAGCTGTTCAGTATCCGGGACAAGATATCTATTCATTGCATCATAAGTTGAAGCAAATACTGAAGGAATAGAACGTTTACCAAATGACAGAACGTTATTTTCTAGGCACAAGGAAACAATTGGCGAGTCTAGTTTAGCAACTACAACTGAAAAGCCTAGCTTTTCGTCAATTGCTTCATAATCAGAGCTTGTTAATGTACTACTTCTATGAGCTTCATCTGAAAAACTAGAAGATAGATATTTAATATCTGTTTTCACGATTCGCCCACTTTTGTCTCCAGAATAAAAAACTTCAAACTCTGAGTTGTAATCATTTTGGAACAATAATCCTGGTGACGATGATACTCCTGTGGTGAGCGACCAAACTGCATCTTCATGTATATCAAAGTTTTTATAAACTTTGAAGGTTTTCAAATCCCAGAGTTTAATCGAAGTATCAGACGATCCGCTTAATGCATATCTATCGTTCATTAGTAAACACCTGATATTGTCTTGGTGTCCTATTAACTTTCTGATTAAACCAGAATGTTGTGATGCTCTTTTGTCGTACAAAGATATTATATTGTTAGGACCTCCCGTTCCAATTACATTGGAGCCATTATTCGATAATGAGTATATTGAATTCGGAAGATTAGGATTTGGCGAATGATTTTCAATCTCTTGGATGGGCTTCAACGTATTCAAATCCCATAGTACAATCTTTCCATCTAGACCCCCACTGGCAAGAAGATTCTCGTAATGTATGTATGACAATTTTTTGATATAATCTGTATGGATATTCGAAAATTTGTGTGTGTGTACTTCTTCCTGAGACAGACTTTCAGACGTTAGCCCCGGCTTTAGATTCACTAATTTCATAGACAAGTCTGAAGAACAAGTTACTAAGTCTCTATCGTTATTAACTAGTTTCATATCATTAATCCAGTCAAAGTGTAAATTGAAGTTATTTATGACACCATAATCGTGATTTTTTGACCCTGAGTAAGACATTGGGTTTGAGGATATTGAAGTCTCCAATTTAAGTATTGTTTCGTCGATATCTTGTTCAACAACAGTATTTCTCCTATCATCGGAATTATCGAAGCAATCGGAAAATTGGAAGTTTGCAGGAGAATCATCTTTCGAAAACAGCTTCTCTGGACTCCATACCTTCACGGCTCCATCCCTTCCTCCTGTAAAGAGCTGATTAGAATATGTTGAATATTGACATACGTTAATAGGTAAGATGTGATTTTCATCTTTATTAGAGTCACCTATCACATAAGATAGACCCTTTTTAGTTCTGGCAGACATCACCAAACGAATGTTCTTATATCATGAACCTCCACCCCTTGACGAATTAATTTCAAAAGAATTTATAAGCTCTATTGATTGCAATTACTAGGACAATTTGGATCTGAACCTCACAAAAACTCCGAGAGGAGACACTGGGTGCTACACAAAACAGATAGCCCAACAAGGAGAGCGAATTCTTATATAAATGGCTCCAAGTTGTTGAAAGTGAAAGGTAGAGAGAATATAGTGAAAGAAAACTACACTCTTTCGATCAATAACTACATACGTTCGCCCTATACGTTATTGACGAGTTGAAGATTGTACTCTCTCAACAATAATGAAGTTTTTGTTCCCTGTAAATTTATAATATTGAAGCCTAGGATTAGAGAAGAGACTCATACTGCTGTATTTCATTTCTTTCGCGCTTTCCTTACACAACGTTCAACAGTTATGTCCTTTGGCTCTTAAATTGTAGGGAGAACTCAAACACCTCTCCAGTTGGAGTAGCTGAAGGAACGACATTTACGACATTTATTAGACAACGTTTTTTCTCAGTTTAATTCATGTCCGACTAGATTTACGTTTACTTTCAAAGAAGAGTCTACCATAGCCTAAACAAAATGGCAGTTCAAACTCTGACTGAATCGGAAGTGGCAACGCAACTTAAATCAGCAGTTTATTTGATGGTCGCGAAAATAGTAGAAGAGGAATTAGGTGAAAATGTTTCCTCCACTCCGTCTTTCCTTGCGTCGTTAGTAGAGTTAGTATACAACCAGTTGATTAATCTAGGTGAAGATTTGGAACTATTCGCAAATCATGCCAACCGATCTGTCATAAGACCCGCCGATTTATATATGGTTACTAGAAAAAACGACATTTTGACCAAAGCTTTGAAAGATTACGAGGACCAGTTGAAGTGAAGTCACACCATGATTATTGCTTATTGTTGATCTTCAAGAAACCTAATTGGTTACTTCAACTCGAGTATACCTATTTTTGATTTATTGTTGGGTTATATTTCTTCGAAAATAGTGAACACTTTATGAAACTAAGCGTATCAAGACGCGTCAATAGGCTACTTTTTTGATTTTGATGTATTTTCACAGACGATGTGCCTCCCTTCCTCTATCCTTAAAGTCAAGCTTCCACCTCCTTAAAATGGTTTATGAGATGCATAGAGGACCATTGAAAGAGATACGCGTTTTTCGCATATGTCGAGCGCTCATTAATAGCCAATCTAGGAAAAATTCAAAAAATACTTTAGATTCAAAGACAACCGTGACTGGGACGCGCAGAGATAGCTAGAATATATAGCAGCAAAGATGCTTAAGCACTGTATTGATTATTATTCGCATACAATTCAGTTGAGGTTAAGGCAATGAGTTCAGAGTTAGGTCCAAGGAAAAGGAGAAAGTTGGCAGACAGAACTAACCTTCCATTGGCAACACCTCCAACTACCCCACTGAAAAACAAAGTGATTGATCTTTCAAGTCAATTGAAAAGGAATAATGGCGTTAAGAAACTACAATTCGACACTCCACCTACAACACCCACAAAGCCAAAAAGAGCCTCTTATTATTCTGGTGCAAAAGCACTTTTTCAAAAGAATGCCGATGTGAAGTCAATGGGCTCGAAGTTAGTTGGAAGAGAAGACGAGGCGGAAAAATTTGTCACATTCATGACTCAATGTATTTCTGAGTTATCTTCTAATAGCTTGTACATATCAGGACCACCTGGGACGGGCAAAAGTGCCCAGGTTAGTATTTCTCTCAATCATTTGATGTCCGAAGTAGGACAGCCGTTAGATGGGAGAACCTCTTCTTTTACTAATAAGACTGTGAGATTAATCAAAGTAAATTGTATGTCTATTGGCCATCCTGATTCGATATTCCATGAAATATATTGTGAAGCAAGCAAGGAAAACAATTTTTCCCACAATAAAAGAAAAACATCTGACGATTTATACAACTTGTTACTACAAGAGTCTAAGATTCAAAGCATAGTTGTCATTTTGGATGAGATGGATTGTCTCATCACGAAAGATCAACAGGTTTTATACCAGTTGTTCAATTTTGCATCTCCTAAAAACTCTAAAGCCTTGAAAACGAAACTCATTTTAGTGGGTATTTCTAATGCATTAGACTTAACAGATAAATTTTTACCAAGGTTAAAGAGAAATGGTCTCAGTCCTCAAACGATTCAGTTTTTACCTTACACCTCGGAAAAAATCAGAAATATCATAATCAACAAGCTCAACTTGTTGATAGAATCTGAAAAAGAAAACTTAGGTACGCTCCCACTTTTTCATCCTGCAGCTATACTGCTCTGTTGTAAGAAGTCTGCAAGTGTCACTGGTGATCTTAGAAAGGCGCTAGATATCTGTTATAAAAGTATTGAATTGGTTGAAATGGAGTTTCGAAGATCCCAAAAAGAGCTGTCGCAGTCGCCTATTAACACTTATCCCAGAGTTCTAATTTCACATGTTGCGAAGGTGTGTTCTGCATCCTTTGGCGATAATTCATCGACTAAATTGAAGAATCACAACTTGTTGCAGAAAGCAGTTTTATGCTGTCTCTTCAATTATTACAGCAACAACATTTTTATTTCGAAAGATATTACAGTAAATGCCTTCTTCGACTACTACAACAAGCACATACTGCAGAACATCAACAACTTACTATCACAATTGAACAAGGGAGAATTTCTTGAGATAATTTCCGCATTGGAATCCTCTTCTGTGATATCCTTGACTAGTCTGAGGTTAAGTTCGTCCCCCGATAGTGGTAGTAGAATCATCAAGCCTAATGTTCCATATGATGAATTGAATAAATCGATATCAGATGTTGGTGTTCTTCAGAGAATCTTGCATTCTAACAGTAACTAGATGTTTAATATGTAATCACATCATCTGTCATATACTATACTCAGCATACATATATATATATAAATATATATAAACATACTATTATTGTTATCCTGCATGTGGTTGTGAATTTTCTCAAAAAATCTTCAAAAGAATAAAAGTGCCCGTGCTACTCTTTTAAGGCTACGAGTATTTTATTACTTATATAATAAGGTATCACATTTATCAATAAATTAACCTTCAGCCTTCCTATGATATGTTGAAGTGACCTATGGTAGCATAAGATTTGATAGATACGATATTGGAAAACGAAAAATATAGAAGCAGAAACTAGCCAGCGTATTTCCTATTCGTAGAACACAAGATAATAGAAAGAAGTGATATCGAACAGAATAAATTATACATAATAAAGAGATATGTCTTCTTCTGGATCTCGTGGCCCTCCGATAGGTCGATATAATGGAAAGGATTATGACTATGGTAATAACAAGCCTCCAAGAAGGAAGAACTTCTATTCTGTTGGAGGACCTAGGCGAGATTGGAATAAAGGTGCTCCTGGTTCATCTTCTGCTAATGGAGATACTTCATCTATTCCTAACGGTGAAAATCACTATTCAGGCTCTGGTAGACCTAAATATGGAGGAAGCTCATTAAGCGGACTGTCTAGAGGTGGCGGTTCCTATGCATCGCGCGGTGGTCCATCAAATAGTCGAGATAATAGAAGCTCGTACGGTACATATGGCTCATCTAGGTCTTATCCATCGTATTCAAGCTATGGATCATATAACAAGAGAGAATCTGATTACCAAAGTTCAAACTATTATGGGAACAGACCCGACGCTTGGAGATCAGAACGACCGCGGCAAAGTGCCGATTCTAGATTAACAACTTCAAAGCCATCGGCAACACTGAATCATCCTTCACGTCTCACGAATGCAAATCACTCTAGCTCAGATGACGATTTTAGAAAAGAGAGGTACGACTACTCGAATGAAGGAACAACTAATGGTGCCTACGGAAGTTATGGTGCAAGTAAGTGGAAAAACTCATCTTACTATCCTAACAATAGAAGCTCATTAATGGGCTCTGTTGGATCAAGATCATATTCCTCTAGGGGTAGAAAGGGATCCTCAGCTCTAATGAATAGTACAAGAAGGAGCGATACGTATTATCCCTCCAAGGGTTCATATCCCCATTCAAGTGGACAGAATCAGTACGATCGTTACTCAAGCAAACCAAGGCTACTGCAATCTAGATCTAAAAGTGGAAGCCCAGGTGCTTTTGATGATGAGCTGTTTAATTCAAGTAAAAGAGAAGTCAGTGAGACATACTCAAATGAGTTGGACGAAAATGATAGCAAATTGTCTGATTTCGATAATTCTAAGGAATCTAACGAAGTTCTAGGAAAGGAGAACAACGATGATGAAGATGAAGACGAAGATGATGATGATGAAAATGACGATGACAATGATGATGACAATGATGATGACAATGATGATGTTAAGGGCATAAATGAGAATCTATTTAAGAGGGATGACACTTCAAAAGAAGACTTGAATTTTCAATCCACTTCTGAACTTAAGCCTCAATTAGTGTCAACAGAAAAGGGTGATATTGAGGTTAAAGATGCGCTCCCCAATGAAAAGCTTGAGACGAAGAACCAAGAACCAAAAGTCCCTATCGAGAAGATAGAACCAACAGCAATAAACAACGAAGGATCTAAGGAAATATGTTACCCACATGGTTGTACTTTTCCTCTTTCTAGAATAGACACGGAGCTCCAACTTATAAATGAAGAATTTGAAAAAAGTGGTAAAAAATCAATGAAGTATTCTTTGGCTGTTCCTATCAAAAATCTTCGAGAGTATTCGTTCTATTCGAGAAACTTGAGAAATTTCATAAATTCGAGGGAGTCCCGTAGTTTACTATGTAAAAGAAGAAATGAATTCTTGAAAAAGAAAAAGTTCAGTCTTTTAAAAGAATACATAGCATTGCAAAAAGAAAATAGTTTAGAAAGAGAGAAGATGGATCAACAATTAAGAGTTTTGCACCCTCCAGGTGACGAAGCGAGAAAAGAACTAGAATCAAGCGATTTGAGGAAACAATATCAACAGGTGTCTGACTCTTCTGCTGGCGACTTAGGTCCACCTCCTTCAAGCAGTCATCGTAGGAACAGAAGACATGGTGATTTAGTAACGACTGAAGCTGAGTTCCAGGAAATTTTGCAGTCTCTTGAAAAAGAACAAGAAGAGGATCCAATGGCTCGTGCCCGAAAAGTATCTGCTACAATTCCCAATATGATTCTTGATCCACTTAAAAGAGACTACATCAAATTCATGGATTCGAACAATTTTGTTGAAGATAGGAATACATGGTCTAAAAGAATTAAAACTGATTTTATCAATAACTTTTCGTCGAAGGAACATGAGTTGTTTTGTGAGGGATTTTGTATGTATCCTAAAAGGTTTGGTGCAATTTCAAGACAAATGGGTGGATTGAGAACAGCTGAAGAATGTGTCCTTCATTACTATATGACCAAGAGAACTTTTAACTATAAGGATTTGCTTACTCAATACAAAAAGAAAGTCAGCAAGAAAACAGGTCGTCGTATTAAGACCCCGCGTTCAAGAAACTCGTCTCAAAACCAAACCCCAGTTCAAACGCCGGTTGCCGAATTTCCTCCTATTGATGATGGTATGGAGACGCATGGCTTGAAATCACCTATAACATCTGCTGTTTCAGCATCCACAGAATTAGCGGATGAAGAATTTTTTACAGACACAGGGCGAAGGAAAAGAGCAGCGGCACCAGTTTTTGATTCTAAAATTAAAGAAACTATCCCTTCTGATACTACAGAATTTGTTTTGCAATCACCTCAAAAGAAAATCAAGACCAAAAAGAAAGAAACGATTCAAAGCAGCGGAATTATTCCAAGTTCTGAGATCATTACAACTGAACATCTGGAAAATGATTCGAAAGATCGTAAAAAGACTATTTCAAGCTATTGGAGCATTACCGAAGCTAATCTTTTTCCAAGTTTATTAATGGAGCATGGAAGTAAGTGGACTACTATAGCAGACAAGTTGAGTACGAAGACAGCTACAATGGTTCGTAATTACTTTCAAAGAAATGCTGAAAAAAATGGATGGAAGAAGATATCTGAAGAGGCTGATTCCAGATTGGACGCCAAGTTCGCGGCTGTCTTGGGCACCGCTGGAGAAAACAAGACGCAAAATTCGGAAGATATGAAGGATCAATCAGTTCCTTATACTGCTCCTTCAGCCGTGAACACTAGTACTACACCTATAGTGGGACAATATATCCCTTTGGGTACCTTTCAACATAACGCACAGATCAATCAAGTTCGACCTCATACGTCGGCTTTACCTATTCATTCATCAACTGGGGTTTCATCTATAAATTCGCTTTTATCAGATAATCCTGTAGGTTCTTTGGACAGGGGCTATACTGTGAAGCAAGAGCTTGATAGTGCACCCAAAAGTATTGATTCAATCGAAGTCAAAAAAGAAATACTGTCTGTTGCTCACTTCTCCGCCAATTCGCAGCATCAGAGAACATCTATCAGGGACCTATTGAACTCCGATGGTCCTCTGGCTTCTGAGGAAAACCAAACACCACTTACCACAGCGCAACTTCCACATATATCAAAGTCTAGTGTTCGAGACCTTTTAAACGCACCGTCGTCTAACCCAACTGCTGATAGCAACGATAATTCAAATAAAATTGTCCGTGATTCTGATCAGCCGAATAATAGATTAGGGTTGAATGCTCTACTTTCAGTGACAGGAGCCTCGTACAATAATAATAATAATGATGAGAAGGCAACATAACTTTGGTTCTTCTCATGTGTATCTATTTTTTTATTCCTTATATGTATTATATATTTATCTGTATCTTAATTATGATACTAATACTTTTGTGATAGTAATCTTTAGATTCTATCAGGATTATGGAATTATAACGAAAGATAGTCGTGCGGTGATACCATTAAATTTTTCAAGATTTTGTGGAAAATATACTGCTTCACTGTAAGTTCTTTGAATGGTCAATCTGATTAAGGATTACTATGTCTTTGAGGCTTGTACATAATTTAAGAGCTCAAGGATATTCCTTGAGAGCATTTTCATGCTCATCGAAATGGTTGAAAGAACACAGACTGTCAATAGATACAGATGAGAAAAGCCGACCACTGATTCCGAAAGAGCTAGTAGCTCGTTCTCAATCCATTAGTAAAAACAGAATACCATCGAATTTAGAGATTTCAAAGTTTCAAGTTTATGAATATGAAAGGTTAAGGATTGTTCCTAATTTGAGGACATTTTATGGAGGAAATCCTCTTCACGAAGAGAATCTCAACATGTTGAATGCGCTCATAAGAAAATATATAAATTTACCTACTAGAGTATTAGAGGAAAAGGAAATGCAGAGCCAAAGGTTTGTGTCATTTGAGGAATACAAGAAAAGTGTTCTTTCAAGTACTCGTTTAAAGCCGATCCACCATAAAGACTTGACACTGTTGTTACATAGATTGAGAAGCATAGATCAGGAATTAATGCCTAAAGAAGTCAGCGATACGTTAGCAGCATTCACAAGAAAATCAAATGTTACCCATAAAGTTCAGCAAGAAGTACAAGAATTGGATTCATTCGGTAGAGCACACTCAAGTGCAAAGAGAAAGGATTCAGTTGCCAAGATCTTTCTTAGTAGAGGTGATGGCCAAGTTCTCGTTAATGGTAAGTCGTTGGTTGAATACTTTCCCAAAGATGTTGATAGGGTGAAGATTGCATACCCATTTCAAGTCGTGAGTCAAGAAGGAGGGTACAATATTTTCGCTAGAGTTCATGGAGGTGGATCAACAGGTCAGCTGGAAGCCATCATGTATGCTGTCGCAAAAGCACTAGTAGTTTTCAATCCATTACTCAAATCGAGATTACATAAGGCCGGCTTGATGACAAGTGATGCAAGAAGAGTTGAGAGGAAGAAACCAGGTAAACTTAAAGCTAGAAAGTCTCCTACTTGGGTCAAGCGTTGATAAAAGAAGTCAATATATGTATTCTTGAATGTCATTGTCTAATCTGTCTTGTATATATGAACAAACTAAATAAAGATTACTAAAAATTTCTCTTAAGAGTTGCGTAAACTCTCCAAGTATTTCAAAGTGGAATCTAGTTCACCTTTCTCATATTTCGAGATTTTTCCTTGAAATGAAGCTCCTTTCCCGCCCCCTTTCAAATTGGAAATTCTCTGCTTGAGCTCGGCTTGGATCTCTTGAGCCTTTGGTCCTATTATTTTGACCATTCCTCCAGTACCTGAAGCATAATCTCCATTGAGAAGAACGACAGTTTGAGATGAATTCAAATCAATGCCACAATCCTTCGAAGTATTGACCAAAGTTGTCAATTCTTTTTGGAGAAGAAGAATGAATTCAGCGTTGCTATCCTCTCTATATGCGAAGCCTATTGTTTGCCCTTTAGCTAGGAAGTCTTGGAAAATTTTATTAGCTTCTATTGCAGCCAACTCCTTCAACAAATTAGACTCGCGAGAAGTTGACTTTCTATAATTTAGATTAAGTGCAGCTACCTTATCAGCTACTTCGTCTACTTGGCATGATAGCTGGTTGCCAGAAACTGTTTTCAAGATGTCATACTGCTTTCTCAAGTATTTATATACTCTAGACCCACAAATGAAATGCAAACGTGAATTACCACCTCTAACATTCGTTTGGTTCAATAAGGATATTGCCTGCACTTCTGAGGTGGAAGATAAATGTGTACCACAACAAGGATTGGCATCTAAATCTCCTATTTTGACTATTCTGACAATTCCCTTAGATAAGTCGTAATCATCTGGAATATGCGTAATATCAACCTCACCTCCATGTTGATCTGGAGTAGTCAAACTAATCGGTAAACCTTCAAAAATAATATCATTCACTTTTCTGTTTACCTCTTCGACAATCTCGTCGCTTATCTTTTGAGGTAATTCAATATAGTTAATCACATCGCCCATTGACCAACTCAAAGTTTCCAAATTATAAGTATCTAACACTGCAGAAAGTAAATGTTGCCCAGTATGCTGTTGCATTACATCAATTCTTCTTTCCCAGTCAACATTCAAAGTTATTTCAGTACCCTCTCTAATTGGACTATCAGTTACGTGAATTGCTTTAAGTTTATCCCTCAATACTGACTTCACGTCTATGACGTCGTCGTTTGGTAATGTAATGGTACCATAATCACAAGGTTGCCCACCACCCTCAGGAAAAAGGATAGTGTCTTCTAGTTCTAAAGCATATAATAGCCCTTTACTAGTTTCTTCACTTTGCTCCTTGACCTTTTTGTTCTTGTTCTGCTTATCACGAGAAGTTTGAATTGGTGTGTATTCATTAGCCGATACAACTTTCGTTTTCAAAGTCTTCAAAAACGAATTTCTTTGACAAGCTAGTGCCCCTACTATAGTAGAAGAATATGTAAGAGCAGCGGTAGACATTTCTAACTTACTGCCTTAGACTAAGCTCTTACTGATTATTAATTCATTTTCTTCTATTCAACAATATAATTCGCGATAGTGATTTTAAAGTGTTGTTAGTAAGAGAATAGCCAATATGACTAATTTTTTGGTGACGGAGAGACTTAAGTCGACCGTCTTAGGATCAAAGTTATCTTCTGTTGAGAAGGAAAAGTTGACTTCAAATGCTTTCATTAGTCATGAACAGTTAATTAACTTCTTCATTGATGCTAAACCAACATCTACTTTGCTTGATTTATTAAGCTTAACAAAGATGAATATAACGAATATGAATGAGTCATTGAAAGATAGACCAAAGTCACTTGCCTTCTTGAAATCGATGGAGATCTTGAGATTAAAGGCTAAAGAAGAGGAATATCAGAAACTTATTACACCTTCAACTGGCTATCTGACGCTTTATGAAAATTTGGACGGCTATGAAATTACACCGGCGAAGGCTCACAAGGAACTTAAGAGTCAATTGACCACAATTGTAAATATATTTATCAGTGTTGGCAGCGTAGTTTATGCGATTTGGTATTGGACGGAAACTTCATGGAGACTTGAGATCGGTCTTCGGGTTCTACTTTGCTTGTTTTTTGGATTGTTGATATTGGTTGCAGAAGTAGTTGTCTACATGGGATATTTGAATAAAATCGAAGAAGCAAAACTTAAAGAACGAAAGAAGAAAGAGATCAAGACACTAATCAAAACGTTGGAGTAACCTGTACAAGTTTATCATATTAATTAGCGATCAGTAACTGAAGCAAAAGGTGGCGCTGTAGGTAATGAATTCAAATGCTGAGTGTTCCTTCGTATAGCTTCCGACTTGGGCTTTTGATTTTCCAGCTGCATTGTTTTAAAATAACTCCACTTAAGCAAGATTGAAATTACACCTAAGAATTTGAAATCTGGCCAGAGCGTCTCGGTGAATTCAATAGTACAATTATAATTGCACTGCCATAACATGAAGTCACTTAGCCTAGTATGACCACTTGTTCTAACTAAGATATCCAATGGTGGAGTCCCGGGGCCCATATACATGTTGTCTGCTAACATTTGCAACGAAATTTGATCCTTTGAGTCTATCTCTCTAGACTCAAATTTCTCAGTAATCGATCTGATTGAGTGAGCTATATCGTCTCTAGAGGTGTATGGAAAGCAGACATTTAATACTTTTCCGGATTTTGCTTGCTTAGTCTTTTCTTCGATCTTTTCCAAATCTTTCAAAATATCTTCTGGTATCATTGACCTGTTTCCTACTATACAAATTTTAACTTTGTTAAATCTTGCATAAGAGTCTTCTCTGTCAGACATTAGCTTTAATTTATCTCTAAGCATTCCAAGTAATGTATCCACCTCAGCTTGTGATCTGTTGAAGTTTTCTATAGAAAAAGCATAAATAGTAATGTATTTGATACCGATGTTGTATGAAGCGTCTAAGACCTTCATTTGTTAGTATTAATAATAAACAATAAAGCTCTTTTCTTTTAATCAATTTTTAACTTACGTCAAATAAGCTGTTAGCACCAGCATTGTGGCCACCCTGTAACGGCAAGTTGTTTGCTTTGGCATATCTTCTATTACCATCCATGATAAGCGCGATATGCTTTGGAATGGGACCTGTCTTTAGTACACTAACAATAAAATCCTTAATAAACCCCACAAGGTACACTATTATAGGAAAGCTTGTTAAAGAGCTGAAGAAGGTTTGTTTCGAGATAGTTGACACCATTATCTTCTCGTCAAAGCTGAAGTATATTTTCAGAAAATGCCAAAAAAAATTCACTAATTAAGCGCTGCAAAAATTTGGTCCTTTTATAGCGATCTTGACATTTTAGTTGCAAAATTAATTTTCTGATGTATAACAGTAATAGTTAAAAATAAAAGCACTATTGAGAAAGGAATTGCTGAAAGAAAAGTTCCATGTCTCAATGTTATCGCAGGTGCTCAAGTCTAGGTCCTTGTGAGCTGAACTACCTTGTGTCTTTTTATGATAGTCATTAAGTATATTTATTGGCAGCAATTCACATATGGATATGAATTGTTTTATTCCGGCGAGACATCATCGTCATCACAGAGCTCACAGAGCTCTAATTCGAGCCCATTGATATGACATGTTACAGATACAATTTTCAACATCGAATGAACTTTCCTATCAAATTCCATGTTGCTTTTGCTAAACACCAACTTAGCTTTCAAATAGTCCAATAACTGTTCGTTTGAGATAAAAGCACCACCATTCCCAGTGTTGTATCTTTCTACCTTCTGCTCATATATCACCAGCAATTTTATTGCAAAATTTTCATGTCCATGGGTAACAGAAAAATCTATATCACAGTAATACCTCTTGGGTTTTAGCTGTGGTTTCAATGACCCCTTGTGTGCTTTATCGCTGAATTGGGTACTCTGCTCAATTATGCCCTGCGACCTTAAATGCCCAATAAGGAGTCTTCCTAATTTACTTATTGAAGAGGGCTCATACGATGAAGTTAACTCACTGATAGTCGGCCAACCTATTCCGCATCTCATCTTAGACAGCTCTTTTTCAAATGAGAACTCTTTAAGGAATTTCTCGTTGCCTTCTTCAAGCACTTCATTTGGCAGAAGTACTCTTTCGACTATAATATTGTTGAAATCGTTCTTGTACTCATTGAAAGCATTTTTTGAAAACATTGTTGTCAAAAGGGCACTAGAGTTGGTCTTCTGGGTCATTTTCTTGAACTTAGTACACAAAATTTGGTACTTCTACATGATACTTATATATATTTCTCTTACTTTAGTTGCAACAAACCTAAAACTTAACTATGACGTTGAGGGGGTTATTCTTACATTAATACTTTACGGAGCCATCTTGATGACTAGTTTCCCTGCTTGGTCTTATTCTCACTGACAGAGGTCTCTTGATATAATGGCTCTTATGAAAACATTAGGTCTAGAATTCCACCGTTCTTGTTTCTATGAGATCCTTTTGTGGCTCTTGTAATGGTGAATGACTACAAAAAAAACAAAAATAAAAGGAATTGGCTAATTTCGTGCACGGAGACAACCCGATATCCTTCTGATATCATTCTTGAAGCTCTTGATTTTTTTAAACTGTGGTCATATTGAAGATTTTAACGATTTTATAAAACTGAAACGGTTGTTTACTTTTTTCCTGAAACAATCTTGATAAAGATAGAGATAATCAATTTTTTAATATACAAGTTCTAGAAGTTTTAGAAAAACGTACATTTTTGACTGAATACCCTCTCTATACTTAAAGAAAATGTCCAAGAAGCTGATTAACCCCAATCCTTTTGGTTCCGCTGCCGATGCACTGGTATCGGAGTCAAGGAGAAGACAATCAAAAAGAGACGATGCTATAAGAAGAAAAATAGAGAATGATTTGAACAAGAAGAGAAAGCAAGGGGCCAAATCAGCTCGCCATAATAAAGCTTCTCCTGGAACTGTTTTATCCTTGAAGCCTTCTGAGCCTATCATTTGTAAAGCAACTTCAACGGTGTATGAAGTGTCACAGCAAATGACAGCAAGAAGAGAAAATTGCGTATTAGTTATCAATGCAGAGGGAGAATTGCTAGGTATATTCACTGCTAAGGACTTGGCATTTAGGATCGTTGGCTCTGGATTGAATGCAAATACAGTCACAATCGATCAAATTATGACTCCAAACCCCTTATGTGCTAACGCCAATGCCCCAGCATCGGATGCGCTTGATTTAATGGTCCAAAAAGGATTCAGACATTTACCTGTATTGGACGACAACAACCAGATAGCTGGAGTCTTGGACATTACAAAATGTTATGCTCAACAAATGGAGAAGTTGGAGCGAATGTATGCATCTTCAAAGAAGTTGTATGAGGCATTAGACTCCGTGAATTCGGAGATGGGAATGTTACAACAGCCTGCTCAAGTTTTCCAATATTTTGAAAACTTGAAGAATAAGATGAATGGACCAACATTAGAAAATGTGTTGGATTCATCTACAGTCCCAATATATACTAACGTGAAAGCAACCGTTTATGATGCGACTGTTTTGATGAGAGAAAACCGAACTACTGCTGTTTTAGTGAATGATATGCATAATGAAGTCTCTGGAATTTTCACTTCAAAAGATGTTGTCTTGAGAGTTATTGCCGCTGGATTAGACCCGAAAAAGTGTTCCATAGTTAGAGTGATGACTCCTCAGCCGGATGTCGCTAAAGTGAGCTTGCCGATTCAACAGGCTTTGAGGCAAATGTTTGAAGGTCATTATTTGAATTTGCCGATAGTAGATGAAGGAGGTAACATAATTGGAATTGTTGATGTTCTCAAGCTAACTTATGTGACTTTGAATCAAATAAAACAAATAGAGTCGACAGATGATATTGGTGACTCAGAGGCTACTTTAACGACTCCAAATGAGGGTCCAGCTTGGCATAAGTTTTGGACTTCATTAGATAATGAAGATACTGAGTCTATCAATTCGGATCCTATTTCGGAAGGGGCTCCCAATGTTACCACATCTGAATTACAATCTTTCAACATTGACATAAAACCATCTGATTCCATCTCAAAAACAGCCTCACCCAGCAAAACACTCCATAGCAGGCAGTCTTTTTACATACCAGAGGAGGTACCATTCACATTCAAATTTAAATCACCAGCTTTAGAGGGTCGCGTTCATAGGATATCATGCAATTTTAAGGATGGATTTTTGGGCTTAAGAGACTTAATTGCTGAAAAACTTCTCGATATAGATTACGAAGCATTATCATTGAAAAAGGGTGAGGAAGAATTTGCTATCAGTTATGTAGACGATGAAGGCGATATCGTCTCAATAACTTCAGATGCTGACTTAGTCGATTGTATCAAGATAAATTTACGGTTGAATAACGATAAAGCGGATCTATACATCCACAATTCGCTCAAGGCAGCACCGGTAAATCCTTTAAAACTTCAGCATGATAAAAAGAAAACCAGTGGTCCAAAGGAATTAATACCTGGTCTTCCAAACGAAATTTTGCTTCCTACGGCACTTGTATTCTTGGCGTCTTCGTTCATAGTTGGATTCTCCTTGAGCAGAAAGTAGTATAGCGGATAAAAGGTGACTATTTACTAGTGTTATTTTGTAAATTGCAATCAATATTTTATAAGCGAAGTTATCTATTTACATGTCGTCTTTAGGAAGCATATCTATAACGCTTCAGGTTTAGTTCCAGACTCTCTTGCTCTTTGGACTAACTCGCTATATAATTTCTCCTGTTGTTTCTCATTGCGTTCTGTATTCAAATATACGTTTGGTGCTTGGAAATCTTCCTTTCTCAAAACTATAGCATTTGGATTTCTTTCTGTAGCCCACCTGGTTGATATGACTTTTCCAAGTTCATTAGATAACTGGCTCAATGAGTGCGATGTTGACAATGTGTAGTCATTAATGTTAAATCCAAGCTTTTGTTGCAAAAGTTTGGCAAATTTGAATCTAAACTGTAAATCATGTAAATCAGTCGCCACATAGTCTTCTTCGCTTATTTTTATGCCTTTTATTTCTTGAAATGTCTCATTTATTATGGTCGATAATATCTCAGGTGTGAAAGTTGATTCTATATCTTTGTCTTTGACCGTCTGAAACTTCCATTGTCTCACTTCAAACCCTGGCATATCTATCTCTGCATCGAAAGGTTTATACTCGGACGAGTTTTTCTCATCTAATATAACAATCTTGGATTTTGGGTCAACCTCATAATCATCTTGGTTCTTGATAATATCTTGATTTTTCTTTATCTCTTTCGAACCAAAAAAATTGCTAAAAAAAGTATTACGAGAACTGTATGAAAAGCTTCGGCTACTAAGGCACTTTAAAGGATAATTAAGCTGTTTCTGTGTCAATCTTATCATTATATGTTATTACAAGCTTACCCTCTTAAGTGTGCAAATTTCCAATGAAAATTTAAACTTTGAAGTCCGGTCGGAAATATTACCCGGTCCATTTCCTTTATAACACACAGTATAATTTTGATACTAAGAGACTACATTCAAAACTCTATGCTTGAGTATATATAACTAATGCTGAATAAGAAAGAGCCAATGTAAGCTATGCTAGATGATTTTCTTTTTCTTGAAAAATGATAGAGTCATGAGTCCTAATAGTATGTATATGCCAGCTCCCATTTCATGGCCTGGGCCAAGATGACCAGCCACTGAAGACCGTGACTGTAGATTGGAAAACGGCTCTAGAATGTCTAAAGATCTTTTATTGTTACTTGATGAGGTATTTTCACTTTCGACTGACACCTCGCCTATGTCACACCATCCATGAACTGGAATACAGTTAATATACTTGCACCATTTGCATTTGTCTTGACTTGGCTCTCCGGTGTTGTTAAAGAAATTTTTGGCCAACAAGACATAATATAGAATTGCTAATACCAAACAAACTACTCGGGCACCACACCATACAAAAAATCTCCATGGAACTTTTTCCTCGTAATTGTGAAACGGATTCCAATTATTTATAAATCGCTGAAGAGTACTATCATGGCCATTGTATATAAAAATGCCATCACCATAAATGAAGAACGGATCTGGAAGGAGGACGACACCCATTAAAAGCCCCATGGCAAAACCCCCTATATGACTGAAGTTATCTAGACCTGGTAAAAGACCGAGAACGAATGATACTATAATTTCACATAGCATAATGAAGATGAAGGACTTAAAATGTTTTGTCCCATATATGTTTGTATTCTTCCTACCGCAATAGATGAACATCATAATATTGGTGGCAACTATTCCAAATAACGAGCCAGAGGCTCCTGTCGACGCAATTCCATCAGGAGCAAAATTTGATCCTAGAAGAAAACCTGCAATGCCACTCAGCATGTAAATTATGAAAAACTTTATCGATCCGATATTCTGTTCTATTACCCATCCCATGGTAACTTGTAATAAGAGATTGAAAATGATATGTAAGAATCCCGCATGTAAAAAAATTGGAGTTATAATCCTATACCACTGGTCAGGTAGATACTCATCACCTTTTACTGGTACACCACTCATACCACATAACTCGCTCAAAGAACATACTTCAGATGCGGTCGTAGTTGAATTCGCACAAGGAAAGTTAATTGACAAATCATCAGTAATCTCTTTGATCTTTGCCATACAAGGTACATAACGAGCACCCATGTTTATCAACAAATATGTGGAAGGGCCCAACATAGGATTGAAGTAAGGCTTAGTCTGGAATGCAGATCCAGTCAAAATCGACATTCTAGCCAATTCAACGATAAAGACAACTATTTGAATAGTCGTCAAAAGAATAGTCAAGTAAGGTAACTTTGTATAATGAAAACGAGGTTTCAGTCTCAATTGTCTTAACCTCGCTCTTTCATTTCTTCTAATTTTTTTTTGCTCGTTGTCAAGTTCATCCTTATGGCTTATTTCTGATTCAAATGGCGCATATTCTGGAAGGGGATGGTTAGAGCTGTCAAAAGGGTTTTGCAGAGCCTCTTGGTATCTGGGGTGGTCTTCGAACGGATTCAATTCCAGTCTGCTATGATCTTGATTTAAGTGACTCGATGAATTACCCAAGGTGTCTAACTCATATTCGGCGCTACTATTCGAAATTTGTTTCGGTTTAGTGAGGAAATTATCCCAACCACCGTAAGGATGCCTAAAAGCTGTTTCATCTGACACGTAATTATTGTTACCTAGTTCAATTGAATTATCACTATGATCCATCCTAGACTTAGAATTATATATTCTATAAGAGCCTCCTAACGAATCACTACTTCCAGCATTATTCAAAAACTCATCTCTAAACGCCAAAGGCACTTTATCGCCAGAAGATGGTTCGTCGTCCACCTTTTTAGAACGATTCATTTTCAATTCTTACCATGAACCTAGATTAAAGGTAAGGAAGAGCAGCTCAAGAGCTAAAACAAAAACCAAGTAAGAATAGTGACAAACTATTTTTGTCTCGAATAAGTATGGGTTCCTTCTACTCTCTACTTCTATATTTACCTCAAAAATCATTGACATTCAGGGGAATGGCTATGTGTTACTGTATACACTCCCTGTATATTTCAACGGTTGCCAGCCGTTTACCAAAAATATGAAGATTCACGCGTTCCTGAATAGATATATGGATGCCAGGAGCTCACAGAAAACATATCTACCAGTGCATTCTTGGATTCTTCGAAAAAGGGTCAATAATCATTATGCGTCTGAATTAAGCTAAATCAGATTGATTGAGAGAGTAATCATGGTTTATCAGTATTTCGCATTTTCTGGTAAGATCTACAAAAATAATTAACTATCGAAATTTATTTATGTTCAATGCTATACATCATGACTTAAATAAGGCATCATTGGATAATGGGTCAGCCTTCAATACCTGGTTTCTTCTCTTCAATTTTCTTTCCTTTGCAGCCTCCGTTCTTGTTCTAGCTTGTTCAGCAGCTTGTTGTTTTAATTGTGCTCTGACGAAATTAGGAGACACATATTCCTTGTTCTCATAAATCTTGGGACCACCAAAAGAACCCTCTAAAATAGTGATCAATGTGAGCACGAAACGCGGCCCTATTTCTATAAGCGACAACTCATCAGGATTTATGTTACTAGAATCAGAATCTTTGACATCAACAGTTTCATTGATTTGATAATTTCGGATCCATATCTTGTTGTCAACTATAGAAAATGTCATGACATGATCAATGAAGGGCTTTGATTTTCTTGAATTAGGAGGAACACCGAAAGTATGCGTAAAAAGCTCTTTGATTAAACGGTGATGCTCCGAATCTTCAAAGGATTTGTCAAATGACAAAACGGGCCTTGAGCCTTTCAAGCAATTTCCTGTAAAGTTAAGTTCATCTAGGGTATGCATGTTTTGAACATGAAACTTTAATGTTGGTCCATTTGGGGCCTTTGTCACCCAGAGGTACAAATCTTGATGCTTTCTTGATTCAAAGAAAAAGATATTGTTGCAATTGTATAACTCAGCTACTTCATTTAACTGGTATAAGTTTTTCTTAGAATCGAACTTAGGCTCTTTCTTGGAATGGGGTAAAAGATTGTATAAGTCGTTGATAAGATGACGGTGTCTGTATGTTACTCCTCTTGAGGATATAATAAGTAACCTTTGCCTGTTTATATGTTTCGCTTTGTCGGAGGCATCTTTAGATCCATTTGACTGTAATGCCTTGAAAATAGCGGACATTATTCACAAAGTATTGAGGAAAGACGGTAGCTACTATTACGCTTCTTTTTGCTCATCTCAAAATTTTCCTCATTTTTCTTTCCAGGAAAAACCAGCGCCTGCACATACAAATTCACACTTTGGCAAAATCCAACGACGACAGACTCGAAGAAACTTAAAAGAGAATCCTATACAGCTCCAAGTCAGCTCTTTATACAATTTACAGAAAGATTTCTAGTATTGTAATTTAATCACAATTTTAACATCATAAGACGATTAACGATACTTTTTTCTATACTCATGAATACATATACTATAAATCACCGAATTCATCCTTACCAGTGCACAATCGTTGATATAGCACAGTTTGACAGAAGTCAGCTCACGAGTCTCTAGAAGTTCGGTTTTTGAAATTCACTCTATTGTATCTACTTTCACTTCCAATTTAATGGTGCTCTTCTTTGGGAGTATTCTTAGCTAACCATTCCTTCACGAACTTTTCCTCATCAGGAGAGCTTGCATTGATAGCAGGTGTGGTTGCTTTTGGAGGACCCCATGGTTTAGGAACAGCAAGAAAGACCACAGCACCTAAAGTTGCCAATGCTAATTGATGGGAACCCACGGATCTACCTAAAATTTGATATGTAGCTGTCATTCTGTGTATATGTATATATATTCTCTCAGCTCTTAGTATTCAAAACCCGACGAGTGTGTAATATAAATATTCTGGTAAATACTTTGTATTCGAATCGCTTTTACTCTTCAACTTGAACTTTTCATTTTTATTGGACAAACTGGAGAACTGGTCGCTAGTCGCATAAATCACGTGACTTGAATATATTTTACAAAACCTTAGTGTGGACACAAAATCCAGGTAGACTTATTTTGTGGCTGCAATAGATGCACAGATTACAAGATCCATTAGAGCTCTAATCTACACATGACGTTCTACAATACGGTAGGTGGGGGTAGGGCATCTCAAATCAACGTCTCAAATCTTGATGAGATCAGGCATTCGTCTTTCACAAAAAGGTACTCGCTGTTGCTTATTCGCAAACCGAAGCTTATACCGGTGGATGCAAACCAGAAATTCTACAGAGGCTGTAATGATGTCGAGCCCAATAGTCCAAAAAAGAGGACATACGACAGCCCTTTCCGTAGATTTCTTAGACTTTTCAACAATAGGAGAAGAGTCAACAGCCAGCGGACGCATTCTATGGTCACAATTAGCTCGCCATACTTAGACCTCTATCCCAAGAGATCAAGGTCAGTACACATCAAGGAGGACGCACAAGAGGAGCATTTGGCCGGATGTTGCGCAACATGGTCACAAACTGGGCCACCAGGAAACGTGCTGAGGGTTGATTCTTACGATGCTGAAAGAAGCTCAATGCCTCATTTATGCATAGATGCGCCTCCAAGTAGCTTTATCCCTCGTACGACTCAAAAGCCTAGATACGATTTACTTAATTTGAGATGTGGCTCAATCAGTGATTCGGATTCTGACAGTTGCTTCAGTTTTCTTAAATCCCCTCCCGAAATATGTAAAAATATCACTGATGAAGTCCTACCTCTGTCAATCGCTATCCAGACGTTTTTAACGTCACCGGAAGAAGCATCCGACGACAGTTGCAAAGTTACGAGAGCCGTTTCATGGGGAAAAGTTAAACGTTGAAGACGTACAGGATGAACGCCTCCGATTCCTCTGTCCTTATTGTGCTCACTGCTTAAATTAGTAAAAGAGGGGGAGGGGCGAAAATGCGTCATAGCTATATATGCCCGCACTTTCGTGCCTCTCAAAGCACTAGACTAGAAAAACCGTCTTGGATACGTCATCAGATGACAATAGGGGCCCAAATGCGAGCTTTAACAAATACGGTCAGTTTTTCCTTGAGTGCCTTGGAGAAAGTGAAACACATCTATATAGCGGCTCAACGGCCGCGGTTGCCGTTGATTTTATCGATAGCACCATTACACACATCAAAATCACATCTTGGTGATCACTACTATAGCTAAGTGGTTAGCAAGTAATAATCCCATAATACCTCTACCTCTCTCTTTGACACTCTTCCCGTATTCCTGCACTCTTAATTAAGGAGAAATGCGAGCCTGATCAGCGAGATATGCCCTCTCCACTCCGTCCCTGAGAGCGGTAGACGAGCTTACATAATCGCCACTAGGCTAGGCATTTGTGTGAGCAATAGGGAGACCGACCTCTGGATTGTTTTACAGCAGCAGACAGGAGGATCAGTAATAAAGCTTCATAATTCTAAGTTTGCCAGTAGTTGGATTGAAGCGGTTAATTACATATTACAAAGTGAACTCGAAATAGCATACTTAGGTACCAGTTCTGTGAAGAGCAGTTTATATCAACACCAGTGAGTGCGATAGATAGGATTAATAGAAGTTAGGAGAGAGGTCGGAGAAAGAAAGAAGAAAGGAGTCTATCAAAGTAGTTATCATTATAAAGCATGGTCGGCAGCGATATGCGAAATGCAAATGATTCTGAAGGGAATCAACTGAAACATATGCTGAACTCAGCGCAACCTCAAGGGCCCTCACAATCACTAAAAAAGAAGATGCTGTTTGACTTCATAGACACTCTATCAAGTCGCGTCGAGTCTATGCTTCCAAACAGGACGGGAAACACCCCAGCTGAGGTAGAACATAATCCACAATTTGCTGTGACAAGAGAAATATTCTTAACTAAAAACGAGGGTCCTGATTACGTTTCATCGGTTTTTAAAAGCTTTTGTAAAATATTACGATCAATTCGTAAGGACAATAGAGATGAAAAGCAGCTCGGATCAATACTCGTTATCACCAAATTGCTATATGATATTTTGGCGGATTTTTGGAACAGAAGAGATTTGAGCCACATTTCTGAATTAGAAGACGACATATATGTTGATTTCACCACATATCATTATTACGAGATACCAGAGCCTTTAGACCCAGAGGTTGTTAAGTATTCAATTGATACTTTGATTCGCATTTTATCACCAAGACTTGTCAAAAGGTTTTTATCTTTCGTAAAAAACTCTTTTGATGAGACCTCAACTAGAAACAATGAAGCATCTGAGGAGATTTCTAAGTATATTAATCTTATAGATAGGCACGTCGAATTAGCTTTGCGATATCTTGCAATATCAAATCCATCAGAGTATTACAGCTACCTCAAAGCAAATCTAATTGATCATGATGAAAAGGAAGACGCGATTCCGTATTCAGCTTTACAAACATATGTTCCTTTAATTAAGTTTACCTATTACAACAGAGAAGTTTTTAAGAATGCTACTGATGACATATTAAAAACATTACCAGCTATAAGGTCCTATAGTTGGAAGCAATTGTATTTGTTATTCTTCACTTCAAGTATAAGAGACCAAGTATTTTCGAGGCCCCTAGACTACTGCAAGCTAATATATTCAGACTCTGAATTACAGTCTAAATGTGTTGCAGTTTTCGATTTTGTCTCAACTGCTTTCGATGACAATATGTACTCGGGTAGTTTATCGTTGATTCAAAGTTGGTTATTACTTTTGTGCGTTAAAGATTTTACGGAACTAGAACAAGGACCAAATAAGCTCAAGATTGCATTTAATAGAAGATTAAAATATCTCAGTCAAATCCTCAAAGAGTCGGTAAATGGAAGTAATTTAGAATGCTTCAAATCATTAATTAATATTTTTCACTTGGGTGCAAGACTCCCAGAAACACATCCGGTCTATAGATTTTGCTTGAAGAACCTTGATCAAACTTATCATACTCTAGATAAATTAGAAGTTTCCTTCCGATCTAGCGATGCCAGCATTTCGCATGATGAACTTCTAGTGAATTTTTACATTACTGCTATCATGCTCAAACCAGAAAAATACGTCGATATTTTACTCACCAAGTTTCATGAATCGATCGATGACATCAAGGAAGTTCGAATATTGGTAAAAGTCATAAAGGAGTTGTCCGAATTGAAACAAACGAAAAAAATATTCTATGACATAATGTGCAAAATATCAAAAGAGCTCAAGACTATGGTGTTTGGTGCGGTCAAATTATTAGATCAACACTACAGCTCTACCGATTCTTTAAGTACTTTAACATCATTGCATTCATCGAAGAATAGCATTGAATCGGAAAGACATAATTTTGAGTCTCTGTCTGGCATAAAGGTTGGTATGCAAGAGTACTTGAAAGAAAATGCATCCAGCATAGAGTCGCATGATGGAAGTGGCTCACAAAGATCTTTAAACCATACAAAGACTACAGCTTGGGTCGAAAAGGCTAGACTAATATCGGAGGTTGAAGAATTACTATCTTATTTACTTGCTGTATTCAGTGGTGCTCCTCATTTATACTTCCATGATGCTAGTCTCATGGACTCAGGTGAAAGTCCACACTCTCCTGAAGTACGTGAGAAAATTCTTAAGTTTGCCGACGAAGCCGTCGCTCCTTTGAGATATTGCTTTCAATCAAAGCTTGGGGATAATGCTTCAGTACACTTTACGGCTGCGTGCAATCTAGCTATGAGACTTGTTGAAAATGGGAATTTTACTGAGAGCACATCTCCATTATCATTGTTCACGAATATGGTGATTTCAAATTATGTACTTCAGGCTATCTGCGATTCTTGTACCTCAATTGCATTTATAGATTATTCGTTCAAAGCCAGATTTCTATTTTTGAATAGGTACTTGCAGGCAAGAGATAAGGCAATCACCAAGGTGTTGAAAGGTCACATGGAAATATCCTTAATGTCATATGCTAACTGTTCCTCAATGTTATACGCCCTTGAGAGATGCTTATTGATAACTTTGTGTACCCATGATATTCAGTTCTACAATATTTCAAAAATAACAATGAAGTGGTATACCAGAGCCTATAGAGAATGTCCAGAAATCCAAGAACTTCATCCTTTAAATCTCAGTCAAACGTTCAACGAAGTTGTAAATGAGAAATTTGTGTTTACTGGCCTTGTCTCATTGCATAAAAGGTTTCGTAACATTTTAAGAGAAACAAAGCCGACGAGGGCTTTGTATGATGCCTGGAATACAATATATGATAGATGGCTCAAATTATTAGGTGAGTCAAACATCAATGATGAGAGTTTAATATTCAGAAATTTCACTGGGTTCTTGGTGGCTACATCTGGATGCTTTTTACGAGATGAATTTGCTACTGGGGATTTGGAATTCGAACACAAAGCACAGGATTTGATCGACGCTTTTTATGAAAAATGTGTTCGTCTATTAACTTCTAATGATTTAGTTGTAAGAATCATTATCAAGGACGCTTTATCAAATGAACCTCATCCTACTTTGTTTTACATGATTAGCTCTAAGCTTTTGAATGTAGCACATGAATATTGTGATGGCAAGGTGTTGAGCAATGAAAGTTTTTTGTACGTTGAACTGGTAATTAGAATTATTACTACAATGTGCGGGAATAAAAGTGATGGATCTTTTGTATTAATAGCTTCCCTTTCAAAAGTCCTTGCCTTTCTATTGAAGTTCATTAATATGGTCGAAGATCTGACCGAGTGTTTAAAATTGAAATTAAGATTTTGCAAATTACAGTTAGCTATTCAAAATGACAAAAGCTATGCTGGATTAACAGGTGCCTTCAAAGTAAGAAATCACTACGCCAAAGTCGTCTCAGACTGGTTGGAGCAAGCTGCATTCTGTGAAGACGGATCTTATGCGGATAGTGGAGATGTGTCAAGGCTGTCCTCACTGGCTTCAAACAACAATTCTGAAATCAAGTTCTTGAATATTGATTCTGTCCCAGAATTTTCTAAGTGTCTAGCAGTGCAATTGGAAGAACTTTTACTTGAAATACCTGAAGGAACCCAAGACAGAGATATTAGAAAGTATAAAGACTTGGCCTTCGGAAATTATTTCTCCTTATTTTACAAAATCTTACAGAAGTACACATCTATGGATTTGACCGCAAATCCTAGTAAATCGAGATTCAAGGTCAATTCCATCATAGAGAATGTTCTTAAATGCATATCAAATATTCTTCAATTTGATACAGATGTCGGAATGCAATTTGTACTACCATTGGGCTTCCACGAGAATTATAGAACAAGATCAATATTCTTGAACGTATTCGCCAAGACTCTTGCTTCCAGGAAAAGCAGGGTGTCTTTGGAAGATTTTCCAGATAATGCGATACATGATTTAGCAAATGTTTACGATATATACGGTTTTGCGGCCGTCGTGGCATCATCGACTGAGCACAACTTGTTAGCAACTTCCCTATTTGGATTATTTGGCTACACGAGAAGCTTGGACAAGCTATTCAATGTATTGTTAGACTACGAAATAAGGACCGTGGTTAGGTCTACGAGCGTATTTCGAAGAAATAGTACTTTGACCAGATTATTATCAAACTTTGCGAAAGACTATGGATTGGATTATTTGTCCCTGACTTTGAAACCATTTATTGAAGAGCTTGTTTCTAAGGAGATGTATTTTGAAGTAGAAAAAGACAAAGATTATCAGCTTGAAGATGCAGATCGATTTATGAGTTGTTTGAGGGAATTGGTAGAGAATATATATAAGTCTATTCACCTGATTCCACTTTCCTTTAAGTATATCTGTGGCCAGATCTATCATCGTGTGAAGGAGAAATTTCAAGATGCTGCCTTGCCGGCTGTAGGCTCTTTTATATTTTTAAGGTTCTTTTGTCCTGCTATCATCAGCCCTGAAACTTTCTTCGATATTACTATTGAGAATCCAAAGGTGAAGAGATCGCTCATGCAGTTGGTGAAAGTTATACAAAACATGGCAAATGGATCTTTAAATCTATTGAAGTGGCCAGGCTTAAATTCGAAGATGGACGAATTGAATGAATTGAATCAAAAAGTGTTTGATTTCATGAAAAACATTTCTACAGAATCCAATGAAGGAGAGGAATACCCATTTTTGCCTGTTGAAGAGAAACCAATTGCAGAGCTTCGATATTTGCATAAGTTTTTGTATAATTATTTTGGCAAAATAAAGTACGAGGTCTTTTTGGGAAGTTCGGTGGACAAGTCCACTCATTTACATGAAAAAGTTGTGTTATTCCGGAAATTCGATAAAGTGATGAAAAAATTGGGCCAACCGAAAGCCTTAATACGGTTGCATATTTCTGCTTCATACAAGAATTTTGAAGCAGGCAATGGTGCCGGTAACCAGTATTCCGAATTTATGGGTAGGATGTCAATGAAGTATGTCGAATCTACCGGAGAAAGCTCTTTGATTCAAAATTCAATATTTTCTGATGGGACACCAGTTGTGGTGGTGAATTTAAGTCAACTTAAGAATCATAATTATGAAATTGAATTTTTGGTCTTCAAGTTTCTTGAGACTGCGAGTCAAGTATGGGATAATAAATTCTATTTAGTTTTTGACTGCACAGAGTATGTCTTTTCAGAGAAGCTAAACGCACATTTCCTTCAGCTTATCGCCACATATACCCCATCCCTGTTCGCGAAGAATTGTTCAAGGGTATATTACTTCAATGTTTCTATGGCTGGAGCAAAACAGACATTCGACGAGATACTAAGTTTTAAAAAGCTTCACGCTGACTCACACGCAGAGATTTTTGCTTATTCTCAGGTCGATAATCCTGGTGTTATTAACAACTTGAGTCTTAATTCAACTACGATTGCAGTCGGAAGGGATACGAGAGTGACTTTTAAGAACGCGAAGGTTTACGATCCACGTTCAAAAACCTTCTTTCCTGTTTCTATTAGACTTGGTAGGAGATGGCTCCAAATTTGCTATGAAGATTCTTATTCATTTTATGATTACCATAGTGGTACCAAGTCTTTTTATCCGGTAGAGGTCTATAGTCTTTCCCAGATTACGAAATGTGATGTTGCAAATGATATGGAAGAAAAAGATGAATTCACTATTCATTTCTCAGAAAACTACCTGATCCTTTTTAAGTCCAAAGAAAGACTGGATATTTTGAGATTATTATATTTTACGACGTCAAGACTTCCCAAACAAGTTATATATAAAGATAGTGATAAGGCACGAGAGCATGGGGTGCATCCCATGTACTGGTTTTCACGTTTGTTCAATATTACGTTTCACGGATTCTTGTGCCCAGATGAGGAAGTCAGGTCTGCGACATCAAAGTTGTTCTTCTCTTTGGCCACATATTATGATATTGATTTTGGCATAAATATACCGCATACAAAAAATATCGCTTATCCATCAAATACTACAGAATACGTGGTCTCGATTTCAGAATATTTATCAGAAAAGTTTCCAAATATGTCTTTCAGATTTTTCAGAGCCTTTTTTGATAATTACGAGAAGTTGTCTCTCGAATTGAGAATTAGTGCAATTAAATATATTTCACCTTGGATCGATAACATATGTGAATATATTTTATCTGAGAACGAGGAGAATGGATCTGATAGAGTAGCTGATATAATTCGACTGCTATGCAGAATCACTTCATTGAACAAAGAAATTATTTCATGTTTGAATGATTATGTTTGGAAAAAAATTTCTCTAGAACCAAGGTTGGTACCTACATTGATCGACGAGGTTATCGCATACGCAACTAATAACAAAAATGATGGGCCTAACTGGATTTTTATAGTATCAGTTATCTCTCCATCTGCAGAGGCATGTGGAGAAGTTGTCTCAAGATTGATATCATGTGTAAGTAAGACCAACAGCGATGATTCTGCAATAGCTTCGCAAAGCAAATTGTTCGAAATTATGGTTCTTGTCAAAATAGCTGGGTCGTTGTTCTTCAATTCTTATGTCTTCGCTCAGATATACTTGGCTGATATCTTTTTCATCACGACACTTTTTATTGACAATATGACTTTGAACTTTGGAGCTGATTTACAAAAATTGGTCATTAATACTGTTCATTCATTTTTGAAGAAACCAGATTTGCCCAAGAAAGAGTTTGATACCGTTCAACAAACCCTAGAATACTTCAGCGGTCAACGTGCACGTTTACTTTTCGGAATTATGACGGAGAGAGGAACAACTTCAGATTCGGGCCAGGTTTACAATAGAGCGACAAACTTGGAAATGTTATGCGATTCGTTGAACACTTTCGTATCTGTCTTAGGAACATCAGCTGACACGTCTGGTTGGAGATTTAGATGGTGTTCTAATGCTATTGATGTTGCATTCAGCAGCAACTCCATGTTCCAGAGCCGTGCTTTGCTTGTTGTTGGAATTTTAGCCAAAGATGGAATTAATGATTCCACAACGTCCAGAGTATTACAGCTGATGAGTAGGGCGAATATATTATCATTGAAGCGCTTTACGGTTGTATTGGTGTCTTATTCGAGGATATACAAAGGTATTTCAGGCTATTCTGTTATGACACCTTATTTGATTTGGCCTCATATTTGCTTTGCAATGCTTAACCATGCAGTTCTTTATCAACCGTCTATCGAATGCTTGACAAATTTACTTACTAAACATATATTGGCTGGAGATAAGTATTTGGAAGTAATATTCAACCAAAGGCGAGTTTTGGAGCCTTATGTGCTGAGGTTTGAGGAGCGCAATAAAGTCAAAATAACTAAAGAGAACTTTGAGTGTCATATTTTTAACATATTAACACAGGGAATACGGTATTCTCACATCAAGCATACCTCTTTGAACTGTTTAAAATCTTATTTTGCCGCGAAGTATAAGAATAGAAATACTTCAGAAACTGAAAAATTTTTGAACGATGCTATGCCGTTTCTTGTTTTCATCTATTTGATGAGCAGCTCTGAGCAATTTTCAGATTATTTGCATGAAATTGGAGCAGAGGAGCAAAAGTATGAGATTGGCTCCGAAACTAAAATTCCGCAAGCCGTCGTGGACTTTTTTTTGAAACAGTCAGAAACTTCGAAACCAGTTTTGATTCTTTGTTCCTCATATTTCAAGTACGACTCTGTTGAAAATCTATTCAAAACAAGATTTTTAGAGGTTTATGATCATATATTCAGCAGAAAGAAGGAACTAGGTTTCCTTTGTTACGAGCAAATGAAAAATACATTGGACGAAATGTTGGTGATGACTCAGTCCTTAGAATTGACTAATAGTATTTCAAATATTGAATATGCAGTGTTACGGGACCCAAATTTTTCGTTCGATATATATCGGGAGCAAAGAATGACTTTGTTGGAGAAAATTGACTTCAGTACCGATCACGACTGGACATTGCGTAAACCCTCAGGTAATTCTGATAATGATGAAATTTTTACGAAGATAATTCAAGATTCAAAGGAATTACAAGAAATGGTTTATAGAAGTGCATGTTCTTATGTCGAGGGGCAAGTTTTGGAAGACTGATACTCTATCCAGCTCTTATGTATGTACGTTTATGATTATCATCTGTATATTAGATTAATTTAACTATGAATTTAAATGAAATGCACTGATTGAAGTCATTAATCATTAATTTATTTATTTCTTTGTACTTACCAACTTGAGGGATCTTTCAAAATCCTTTTTATGCATTCTAAAAAGGAGCATGGTTGCCCTAGCATCCTCAACTGAGGAATGTGCTGCTCCTTGGATCTCAATTTCGAAAAAGTGCAAGGTTAATTTCTTGAGACTAGGTGTTTTTCCCATCGAAATAGCCCTAAAAGGCTTATATAATGATGTATCTCTAACAAGCCATTTCGGATGTGACAAAAACAAGGCTTCAAGATCATGATGTATTGCATGTCCGACTATTATTCTGCCTTCAAAGAGAGCAGCCACCTCTCTTTGTACAATATCAAATGGAAAGGCTTCATTCATATGTTTTGGAGTTATTCCACTAACCCAAGTTCTCCAATCAGTCACTTTCTCTTTTGGTTTCACATATTTATCATAGACAACATATCCATAAAAGTTCACAACTGAAACTCTAGCGAGAGCTGACTCTTTACCCTCTGGACCAACGCCAACAAACTCACAGTCTATGGCAATATATTTACCTGCATCTTTCTTTTTGTTGTCTTTCACGGATATCGATATAGGTTTATTAGAGATTTTTGAAATATCAACTTTGCTTATTTCATTCTCATATGACCAAAGAACTGCCTCCATGCTTGATATGATGCTCGTGGGCGACTCTGGGGTTCTCGATATCATCACTGTATTCGTACTAGCAAGGTCTTTTAAAGACTCTTCCTTTATCTTCCTAGTCCTTTTGTTTCTCAATTTTGAGCTCTTCTTTATGCTCCCATCAGCAGATGTGAACTTCGAACTAAGTTTCTTCCAGTTTGGAGACAAAGAGGACATTTCTTTAGCAATAGAGTACAACGATATTCTCGTGGAAGTATGAAACATCTTTTTAAGATGCTAGGTTTCACATTAGGTGCGTGCGGCTCGCGATGAGCTTTCCACTATAATTACTTTAGCATTTATCTATCAAATTTAATTATATATACTAGACATCTTATAGATCTGTAAAACCCATTTGATTTTGTCAACTATCTCCTGGCACTCCTTTGCATCTACAGCTTCCAAGTCGTACTTCTTTTGGGACCTAGAATCTTTCGCGGAGGCATGAACTGGATCAGGTTGCTTTGTTATGACGATTTTGAAATGGTTGGGATTTTTTGAGTTTTTATACTGCTTTATCTTTGTAATTTGAGTAATGTGAAAAGAGGTAGTTTTCATCATCAGTTCCTTGTAATAATTGCTGTAGTTATAATGATTAAAGTGATGTTGCGAGTGGTGTACATGAGCTGCACTTTGACTGGTGAAAGGGTTTTCCGGGTTCTTTTTGAAAACAAGATCATCAGATGGAGTCAAATGAACGTAATCACCATCTATAATTAAAGATTTTTCTATTTTATTCAAAATCGTGGTTTTTTTCCTCCAGACTTTCCATTTGAAATAAATAGTATTTAGGTTTGTGGGCAACTGATTGTTTTTACCAGAAATTATATCATCTAAGTACTTGTTTGAATTAATTGTTTTCTTTATATTCTGTGCTGAATTTATATTTGCCTGGGCAGCAGTTGAGTTAGTCTTTGTGTTCGTCATTTGTTCTGTAATTCCTTTCTCATCCTCTCTCCTTTGTGGAGGAGGAGTTATGACAGAGAGCGTATATGTTCCATCCGATGGAGTGATAACGTTGTTCAATAAGGAGCTATAATTGGACAGATGTGCTAATAAGGTAGGCGGTAAGTCTTTTTTGGGAACCAATTCTAATGTGTCACTCTTTATATCAGTCACAATATCGGTGGATTTTAATATTCGCATGGGCTCTATGGAAACTAAGGCAGAATTGTCAATTAAATTTTTCTGTAATAAGGTGCTTTCTTTGTTGTCGTTCAGAGAATCCGAATTAATTTCGGCGAAAACGTATTTAAATGGGTCTAGATTACGTTCAGCACAAAATTTATGAAGAAGCAGACCGAAATTAGCCCCAGGATAGACATAATATCTCACATAATTCGGGGACAATTTACTAGACGGTTTCGAGAATATTCTCAACTCCTTTGACTCTCTTGTCTGATGAACTGTTTGAAGGCTAGAGTCTCGATCTTCTTCAATGACCTCACTTTTCTGGGGTGTCTCATTCATTTTAAGAAACGTCATTTTCAATTCCATGGGCAAGGGGCTATCACTTTCATTTTTAGACTTCTCCTCTTCCTTCACGACATGACATAAAGCTAAATCTTTAGGGCTATTATAGGAAGAAAGCAATCGAGTTCTGTCTAATATCCCAAACGATCCATAATTATCGCCATCTTCATCAACTAGTTCTAATCTCCAATTATTAGGATTGAGGAATTCCATATCATTCAACTTGGGTTTAAAATCATCCAATTTTGACAAGCTTAATAGTATGTACCCAATGCAATCCGCGATAGAAGCATTATCATTCATTTCTAGTTCTCTTAATAAAGGCTCTTTAATAGGAGGCATAAAGATATTGATTGCGGTTGAAATAGCTGGATTGGAAGCAAATCGGGATCCAACAAATGTATAATATAAAAGAGGGTTCAGATCTGATGTCCTGAACTTGGATCTAATCAAAGAACTCAAATTGGAAGAATTCCCGTTATCTACCTCGCATTTCTCCTTTGGATTTATCTTTTGAAATGAAAAGTTCAAACTTTGTTGAGAGGGAGATAAAGTAGTTCCACGAGAAAATTCTAGCTTATTATGAGCGTTCATTGAAGTCTGTGAAGATGAATGTTTTAACATCGCCGATGCCGAGTCTTTGTACAAGGTCGAATCGATCGAATCTTTCCTTCTTTTACCACGAAATTTTCTACCTATCTCAGACTGATCGGTTTTGTCATCGAACGTAAAGTCCGTAGCCTTGCCATGGAGATCTTCTAGTAACATTGATGTACTCAAGATTGATCCTGTCTCGATGTCTGTGAATGCTGAGTCTGTCGAAGTGAAATCATCAAGAAAGTCGTCGTCGTCTTCATCGTAATCATCATCATCATCATCATCATCATCATCGTCATCATCATCATCATCATCATCATCGTCATCATCGTCATCATCGTCATCACCATCATCATCATCTTCATCACCATAGTCATTAGCTTCATTGTCATCATTATCATTAATATCACCGTCATCGTGTTCCTTGATGCCATTAACAATTCCGTTATTGCGATCTTCATCAATATTATTACCATCATCGTTCTTGTTATTGGCATTAATTCCATTATTGTAATCATAATCATTGTCGTCATCGTCAATATCGCCATCTTCTACATAATCATTCGTGTATTCTTTCTTGCCATTTCCTTTGCTGATATCTGCCAAGTCGGCATACTTATTACTCAGAAGACTTTGTTTTTCCTTAATCTTATTTCTGGATTTCTTGTGATATCTGGAACGTAGACTATAGGAATCGTCCTTTATGACTTCACCACTTGCAGTGACTGGAACTCCAAAATCACTGTCAATAGTTATAGCATCATCATTGTCTACAGAGGCAGAATTAGAAGCACTTCTAGAAATCTCTTCATTACCTTCTTCTTCAATCAAGCCCAAACTATGGTCATGAGATCCCAATGACTTATCCGTTTCACTATTCGTCGCGTTCTCATCACTGCTACTATGAAGAAACTTGGATACTTTTGAAGGTGATATGTTATTTATCAGACCCTGCGATGAAAATTCATTATTTTTCTTCTCTTCTTCATGGAGGTTCGATGCACGCCTTCGACTAGAGTCTTCCTTGTGCTGCTTACTTTGTCTTTTCGAAGGTCCCTTATGAGTACCGCCACCACCTATATCATCATTACCAGCAACCTGTTCATTTTTCTCAACACTCTTTTGTAAATGCCTGGCAACTTTCATCATGATAGGAGGAGAGCTGGGAGGCTCCAAATCTGGATAATAACTATTACCAATGCTGCCAAAGTCTATCGCTTTTACAAGTTGCCGTGCCTGATCATCGTCCTCAACGTTCATTTGATACGACGCTCTTAAATGTCCGATGATCTCTAGTTTACTCAACGGAAAAGACATTGTATAAACACCTATTCGCTTCTTCTGAGCTTCAAAGATTGCGATACTACGTGTCGACTTTCATAGCTCTTTGTTGCAAGGTAAGACTTTCATTTAGATAGGGACCTATCACGTGATTTTGTTTGCGGATACAGCTCCAAAGCATTTCAAGAAATACTGACAGCTTGGCTAATGCCGAAAAGTTGATTAAAGTAAACTTGAACGGTGTTATACTCTATTGGAGATATATTAAGAGAAATCAATTGCATATTGAATTGCCGCTCTACAGAAATTTGAAGAGGACAACAAGGAGTAATTGATTAAGTAATTCTTAGCGGTTAGCGTATTATGCATTTTTGTTTGCATTGGTTAAAGCAACAGGTGGCGTTAAGCACAGAGACATTGAACGATGAAGTTGCATATTAAGGGCACGTCCAAGATTAAGAAATACACCGGCGGATCGCAACGTTCGCTGTCGACCCGTGAGCTGAAAAGTGATCGCGATATACTGAAGAACCACCAAAACGACAAGGAATCAAGTTTACAAGACCTAGTGGATAATTTGGATAGCATATATAAATCTTACACAGATGATCATGCTAGGAGTGCTGATTCTCTAGTCCCTCTCGAACTCACGGGCCCTCGGAGAGTTTACCGAACAGGTACAAGTTCACAAGGATCACTCGCATCTTTGCAACTGGGCGACGCTGGTTCGTTAGCTTATGACTACAATTTAAAAGACAAGTTTGAGGGGGAAAGAGACAATAGCGATGGGGGACCTGAAGTGGTTTCTCTCGATGACGTCACAAGAAGTCCTGACAACTCTAGCTCAGATTTTGACTTTACAACTCATCATCATGCTGGGGTTAACACAAACTCATCTTTGAATGTACTATTAGATACGCCAACAGTTGAGGCAGATTACAATGATCTAACGAAATCTGTTCCCAGCTTACCTAATACTTTATTTGAAAGGAAAGGGGGCAAGTATACTGCGAGCCACCATTCTAACGACGAACTAGACTATAGCGAGAAAGATGCCGAGAAAGAAAGTCACATAGGCGCAAATGGGGACGAGAGAGAGAATGGCGAAGAAGAGGACTGGAATGAGAAAGGCGCTGCGGTTCGTCAGGTTCCTGGTGAGGGTCCTGGTTATAGAATTATCAAGAGAACTGTTCAAGATTTCACATTTGGAAAAACTCTCGGTGATGGGTCATACTCTACTGTCGTCTTGGCTACAGACAAGCACACGGGAAGGCAATATGCCGTCAAAATCCTTGATAAGAGACACATTATTAAAGAAAAGAAAGTGAAATATGTTAACATTGAGAAACATGCCTTGAATCGATTGAGCAATAGACCTGGAATTATTTCTCTCTATTTCACATTTCAAGACAAAGCATCTTTGTACTTTGTTCTTGACTATGCTTCGAATGGTGAGTTGTTGTCCCTAATTAAGAAGCACGGAACACTCAACGAAGACTCAACGAGGTATTTTGGCTCTCAAATCTTAGATGCAATTAAGTACATGCATGATAATGGTGTGATTCATAGAGATATTAAGCCTGAGAATATTTTACTTGATAATAAACTAAGAATTCAAATCACTGATTTTGGAACAGCAAGATTATTAGAAAAAAAGAACGACGAAAGTCAAGAGTATCCTGTTGATGTTAGAGCTAAATCCTTTGTTGGAACCGCTGAATATGTTTCCCCTGAATTGCTAGAAAGTAAATATTGTGGTAAACCGGGTGACATTTGGGCTTTTGGTTGTATTTTATATCAAATGATCGCGGGCAAACCCCCATTCAAAGCAGCCAATGAATACATAACGTTTCAAAAAATTACTAAATTACAGTATGCGTTTAGTGCCGGATTTCCAATGGTTCTTAGAGATTTAATTAAGCAAATTTTAGTGTTGCAACCATCCAAAAGGGCCACGATTTCTGCAATTCAGAATCATTATTTTTTTCAATCCGTTGACTTCAGCAACTCAGATGCTGTTTGGTCAACTGATCCCCCAGCAATAGGACCGTATAAAATGAATGCTAAATCAATGATGAAGATTCCAGAATTAGCGAAGACACAATCGCTGAATCATATTCTGAAAAAGATTTCAAAAGGAAATAGCTCAAACGATATTATTTCGAAGCCAAAAGAGAACGAGAGCTCAAGTAGTTTTAAACATTTAAATCCAGCTAGTGCGGCTGCTTTTGTTCTTGGAAAAAATGGATCAACTGATGATGATTCTGACGACCATAAGAGCAGCTTCAAAAGGACGACCTCGGATAGCACCCCAAACAACTCGAAGAATTCAGCTCCTGACTATATTCCTGGAACCAATATTCTTAGACCGAAGATTAATAATTTGCCAACATACTCGAGAAACTATACAACTCCAAAGAAAGCTCAGAAAAAGCCTAAATCCAAGATTTTATCAGTTGCTCCATTGAGTGCAGTTGAGGTAGCATGGTCCCAATATTTGACTCATCCAGATGAGAGAGTATTGAAGATTGGGCCAGTTCTCGCACAGAAACAAGAAACGTCAACATTTGAGAAAAAAAATAAAGGCTTACTACGTGATTCACCTTTGGGTTATAATAGTAAGTCGAATTCTTCAAGGTCAAGTTCGAGTTTTTTATCCCAAGTTGTCAATGGATCGAGCCAAGGATTGAGAGATCCTAATGTTGTTCAGGATTCGAAAGGTGAAGACAACGAGTCTGAGGCTTTCATAGATTATTTTGAAATAGAGGACCTTACGGAGGCACCAACGAGCACAGGACTGCAGGATGGCTCAGAGAATAATGGTAGCTCAAGACTGACTAAATCTATCTTCAAGAAGTTGTTATCTCATGGAGATAAAAGCAGTAAAGAATCGACTCCAGAGGAAGGAACAACAAGCAGTAGCAGTAAAAGTCGCAATGGAGTCGCTGCTTCCAATGCTAGTGGTGCTAACAATCGCCAGCACCCGTTACTGAAGTCAAGAGCCTGTACGATGGTAATCACGACTCACGGTAGAGCACTACTCTTCTTGAGGAACGATTCAGAAGCGAATTATCGTCTTGTCAGCGAAATAAGGTTAAATTTTCCCTTCGTTCAGTTTAAAGAAGTCATTGGATCGCCGAGCAAATATCAAAGGTTGTTACCTACAACAGGAACCTTCTCGATCATGTCAACGGAAAATACGTTTATCTTTGAGGTTGAAAAACACGAAGTAGGAACATGGACTGAAATGTTAGCAAAATCTAAAATGAACCAATATGAGAGAGAAAAAATAGGCACCTCCAGATCAAGCAGGTCTACATCTGACCTGGTGTCTGCGAGCACGTCTCCAACTCTCCAGGGATCACCATCATTTGCCAACCCAAGAAATGTATCGGCAGGAGAAAGTTCAGAAATTAACCGCTCCAATAATAAGAGCCCATCGCAGCCTACTTCAGCTAAAGGCCAAAGTGCGCCCTCTTTTGATTCTAGATCACCTCAAGTCCAAGGGCATCCTAGTCACCTCATGAGTGGGAAGGTCAAGAGAACAGGCAAAAGGAAACCACCCCCGCCGATTCCAGTGTCCTCTGGACTTGACATGTCTACAGGGTTAGCTCCGTCTTCACCAGATATCGAAAATGATATGCTACATGCAGCCAAGTTAGCAGTAGCAAGTAATTCTCACTCTCCTTACAACTACAGCAGAAGATCCAGTTTTACAAAAGGAGATAGACAGAGTAGGACTAATACTTTGCCTGCAAAAGGACCGAAGCAGGCTGTCACTTCCATGAACTCCAAATTCTTAGCTCACAGCCAGCGCAAAAACAAGTAGCCTAGTTATGTTCTGTAAAAAGTTACAATGCACGACCTGATCAGTAATATCTAAAAGGCATCACCGGTAGTAACGGCTCAGAAAAGATTCCGTTTCCGTCACTACTCTATTGGGCGTCGCACGCTATTTCGAAGAAAGTCGTGCAATAATTAGCAGTCACACAATCTCACGGTTGGTGCCCCAATGAACTAACCATCACACGACTCATTACCCGCCATGATCGTGTTTGTGACACCAAAATTTTTCAGACGTAACAAATCTCACTGAATATACCTAATACAGAGAGAGCTTGAGATATAAAAATTTTCAGAAGGTTGAAACTAACGTTAGCAAGTAATCAAAACAAGAAAGATGGCTAAGTTTATCAAATCAGGCAAAGTTGGTATGTATTCTAGACTGAGAATGTTGATAGGATATGTGGAACATTTTAATACGAAGCTAGTTCGATGGGGTGAAGAAAATGTACATGAGCTGTGGTGCTGTAAGGGTATCTGACAGAAAAGACATCTTGAAAGAAAAGGAGTCTCTTTGAAATAGAGCATTGATAAAGTGACGCTTGATAATTTACAATCAAGTTAGATTTTTGGTTCAAGAGACTAATTAAAGTTCATTGTAGGGGTCAGTACTGTGGATGATACTTAGTGCCTCATGTATTAGAATGTATCCAAATATCAATATCATATAAATTTGGAGCCTATACTAACTTAAATACAGCTATTGTAGTTCGTGGACGTTACGCTGGTAAGAAGGTTGTTGTCGTCAAGCCACATGATGAGGGTACCAAGAGTCACCCTTTCCCACATGCCATTGTAGTTGGTGTTGAAAGGAACCCATTGAAAGTTACCAAACAAATGGGTGCTAAGAAGACTAAGAAGAGATCTCAAATCAAACCATTCGTCAAATTGATTAACTACAACCACTTGATGCCAACTAGATACTCATTGGATGTGGAGTCTTTCAAGACTTCTATTTCTTCCGAGGTCTTGGAGGAGCCATCTCAAAGAGAAGAAGCTAAGAAGGTTGTCAAGAAGGCTTTGGAAGAAAAGCACCAAGC